AATTTTAGTAGTTCTGTCTGTCCCAGTCATTTCAGACATGGATAATCTATTCTGTGATGTCAAACAGCATATTCTCTCCATCTCCCTATGCCTCGTTTCCTCCAACTTTCCCACCACCACAATGTATTCCAGTCTTTCCCAAAGAATATATATTGTCATTCTACCGAATTCTACATTCTAGACAGGCGGTTAATGGGCTTGGTAGACAGTGGGTTAGTTATCTCTTTTTTTTTTTCTACTCGGCGTCTGTGGCTAAGGGGTTTTGAACTCGTTACGTAATGCTGGAGTACCGGGTTCAATACTGGGTTTGATCCCAGCTGCTAATGGTTGTCTTGCTGTGGTTTCGACAAGGTGCTGAGAGCTGACCACATATTATTGTAAAATGAAACAGCTTTATATTAAAGGTTTCCATTCTAAAGTCAGTTGAACAGTTTCTGAAAATAAAACGTATACAGCCTTGACATTTACACTTCTGCCTCACATGAGATAACAAGGATGGCTTTCTTTTTTTTTTTTTTCCTTGTTCTGATGAATTTACCTATGTGTAATTGGTAGCTTTTGGAGGTTGTGTTGTAAACTCGTGACTTCACTGTTGTTGAAATGTAACTCTTTCAGTCCGGTGGCTTAGCATTCGAGGACTAGGGGGTAGTACAGAGATATGTAAAAATCAGCACATCTTGTGTTCATAGGACTTTTAGGTAGAAACCTATGAGCGTCTGATGCGTTCCTTGGGACTGAAAGAGTTACCAACATTCTCACAGTTGAAGTAGACTTTAAAAAGGTCTTGAACTGAGCAAAAGATAATGATGCCTACGCCATCTTCTTCTTTTTCTTTTTTTTTTTCTTCCTTTTTTGTCTTTTTTAAAACTATTCTTCCAGTTATGTTTTGATGCTAGCATACATGTGAGCAGGAATATCTTTAGAGAAAACATTCTATACCTTGCTACTTTGGAAAGGCTTAGATGACATTTGTTAAAGTGTATACAGTTCTGGTGGACCTTGTATGAAAGTATATTTCATTTCTGTAGTCACTTTGATGTTTTTGAATATATCACTAAATCTTTTTCACATCTATAATGTCACTTTAATTATTATATGAAAATCATTGACAGTCCTACAGAATACCTCTGACAGATTAATTCATGGAAGACATTATTATTCTTATAAATTTATTAAAATTATTGCTAATGTATGTTGACCTGGCTGTTGAACCGACCTGGAAGATAACTTGAATCATGAACAGTGTTCACATACTGTTACAACTGTGATTAGTGCTAATGTATGTTGACCTGGCTGCTGAACCGACCTGGAAGATAACTTGAATCATGAACAGTGTTCACATACTGTTACAACTGTGATTAGTGCTAATGTATGTTGACCTGGCTGCTGAACTGACCTGGAAGATAACTTGAATCATGAACAGTGTTCACATACTGTTACAACTGTGATTAGTGCTAATGTACGCTGACCTGCCTGCTGAACTGACCTGGAAGATAACTTGAATCATGAACAGTGTCCACATACTGTTACAACTGTGATTAGTGCTAATGTACGTTGACCTGGCTGCTGAACCGACCTGGAAGATAACTTGAATCATGAACAGTGTCCACATACTGTTACAACTGTGATTAGTGCTAATGTATGCTGACCTGGCTACCGAACCGACCTGGAAGATAACTTGAATCATGAACAGTGTTCACATACTGTTACAACTGTGATTAGTGCTAATGTATGCTGACCTGGCTACCGAACCGACCTGGAAGATAACTTGAATCATGAACAGTGTTCACATACTGTTACAACTGTGATTAGTGCTAATGTATGCTGACCTGGCTATTGAACCGACCTGGAAGATAACTTGAATCATGAACAGTGTTCACATACTGTTACAACTGTGATTAGTGCTAATGTATGCTGACCTGGCTACCGAACCGACCTGGAAGATAACTTGAATCATGAACAGTGTTCACATACTGTTACAACTGTGATTAGTGCTAATGTATGCTGACCTGGCTACCAAACCGACCTGGAAGATAACTTGAATCATGAACAGTGTTCACATACTGTTACAACTGTGATTAGTGCTAATGTATGCTGACCTGGCTACCGAACCGACCTGGAAGATAACTTGAATCATGAACAGTGTTCACATACTGTTACAACTGTGATTAGTGCTAATGTATGTTGACCTGGCTACCGAACCGACCTGGAAGATAACTTGAATCATGAACAGTGTTCACATACTGTTACAACTGTGATTAGTGCTAATGTATGCTGACCTGGCTATTGAACCGACCTGGAAGATAACTTGAATCATGAACAGTGTTCACATACTGTTACAACTGTGATTAGTGCTAATGTATGCTGACCTGGCTATTGAACCAACCTGGAAGATAACTTGAATCATGAACAGTGTTCACATACTGTTACAACTGTGATTAGTGCTAATGTATGCTGACCTGGCTATTGAACCGACCTGGAAGATAACTTGAATCATGAACAGTGTTCACATACTGTTACAACTGTGATTAGTGCTAATGTATGCTGACCTGGCTACCGAACCGACCTGGAAGATAACTTGAATCATGAACAGTGTTCACATACTGTTACAACTGTGATTAGTGCTAATGTATGCTGACCTGGCTATTGAACCGACCTGGAAGATAACTTGAATCATGAACAGTGTTCACATACTGTTACAACTGTGATTAGTGCTAATGTATGCTGACCTGGCTATTGAACCGACCTGGAAGATAACTTGAATCATGAACAGTGTTCACATACTGTTACAACTGTGATTAGTGCTAATGTATGCTGACCTGGCTATTGAACCGACCTGGAAGATAACTTGAATCATGAACAGTGTTCACATACTGTTACAACTGTTATTAGTGCTAATGTATGCTGACCTGGCTACCGAACCGACCTGGAAGATAACTTGAATCATGAACAGTGTTCACATACTGTTACAACTGTGATTAGTGCTAATGTATGCTGACCTGGCTACCGAACCGACCTGGAAAATAACTTGAATCATGAACAGTGTTCACATACTGTTACAACTGTGATTAGTGCTAATGTATGTTGACCTGGCTACCGAACCGACCTGGAAGATAACTTGAATCATGAACAGTGTTCACATACTGTTACAACTGTGATTAGTGCTAATGTATGCTGACCTGGCTATTGAACCGACCTGGAAGATAACTTGAATCATGAACAGTGTTCACATACTGTTACAACTGTGATTAGTGCTAATGTATGCTGACCTGTCTACCAAACCGACCTGGAATATAACTTGAATCATGAACAGTGTTCACATACTGTTACAACTGTGATTAGTGCTAATGTATGTTGACCTGGCTATTGAACCGACCTGGAAGATAACTTGAATCATGAACAGTGTTCACATACTGTTACAACTGTGATTAGTGCTAATGTATGCTGACCTGGCTACCAAACCGACCTGGAAGATAACTTGAATCATGAACAGTGTTCACATACTGTTACAACTGTGATTAGTGCTAATGTATGTTGACCTGCCTGCTGAACTGACCTGGAAGATAACTTGAATCATGAACAGTGTTCATATACTGTTACAACTATGATTAGTGCTAATGTATGTTGACCTGCCTGCTGAACTGACCTGGAAGATAACTTGAATCATGAACAGTGTTCACATACTGTTACAGCTGTGATTAGTGCTAATGTATGTTGACCTGCCTGCTGAACTGACCTGGAAGATAACGTGAATCATGAACAGTTTTCACATACTGCTACAGCTGTGATTAGTGCTAATGTATGTTGACCTGGCTGCCGAACCGACCTGGAAGATAACTTGAATCATGAACACATACTGTTACAACTGTGATTAGTGATTGCAGCACTCCAGGCAAATCTAAAAGTGATCCCATCTCTTTTTTTCAATAGCTCCACAAGCATCAGTTAGGATACTACAACTGCACTCACATTTGTAGTAACATACAATGGAAAATATACAGATAATTCCCATGTTCTATGCTTTGCTTCTGTCAAAGCATCAGGAAAAACAGAAATATTAGTTCTAATGTTGTGAGGGTGTAAGGTATTATAAAATAACAGAAAATCTTATTTTTTTAGTGCATGCATGTAGCATTGGAAGTCATATCTATCCACAACCTTCTGTCTCGTGTACTTAATCATGTCATCCATTTGCCCATGTAAGCGATGGATTGGCAATATATACAAGGCCATGAATACCAGCAACTAGATAGCACACACACAGAGGCTCGTCCTGCAAAACCTGACATTGAAAGACAGAACAGAGTCTAGAGACAAGAAACAAAGAAAACAATGTCATACACAGAATTCCAAGTACAATTTTGTTGTTTTTACAGCAGGAACCCATACACAGAAAAACAACCATAACTTAGCTTGTCTTAGAGACATAAATTGAAAACATCACATTGTTTTTCAATAGCCAGGAATCCATACATGGAACCACAAGCATAAATGTGTTTGACTTCAACATGTTACGAGAGATCTATAAACTAAATAATCATGAAAAGGGCTGTTTTTCCTATACCAGCGGAGTGAAATCACAAGAATAAATTTTTTTTTTATAGAAAGAATCTATAGAATCAGAGGCAGAGCTGTTTTTATTATACCATATCTATAAATGGAATCACATGAATATCTTTGATTTTCCTAAAGGAAGAATCAAGAAAATCATAAGCAAAACTGTTCCCTTTATACTAGGGATGCATTCATGTGTGATCCAGCAGACATGAATGATCCTGGAGAAAACATGTGTAAAAATCCTTAAAGCATGTGATCCAACATTTACATCAGCAATAGAAACTAACGCCTAGATGGAACAATAACATATACCCAACAGTAACATATACCCAACAATAACATATACCCAACAGTAACATATACCCAACAGTAACATATACCCAACAATAACATATACCCAACAATAACATACACCCAACCCCACTGAGATTCCCTGTGACCCATCATCGGGACAGGACCAACTGTAACAATGTCTGGAAGACCACTAAGATCACAATCAAAGCCCAGCTTCTGAACCCCACTCCGACCCCTTCCACTGTATGTGAGGAACGCAACTCAGTCTGAGATCTCTGAACTACTGCAACCTGACCCACCAGGTCATTAAGAACTTTGTGCATCTCTCGCTGCATCTCCAACATCTTGTTCACAGACTCAGGCCCCCAAGGAGACACGTCTTTTCTATTCCTGTGATGAAGTGGTTCTGAAGATAGTCTTTCCGACTCAGATGAGCCTGGTAGATATGTTCTTCTTCCACTGTCTGAAGACTGTAAATGAGTTTGATGAGAAATATTTGCCACTTCAGGACTGTCTTTGTCTTTTCTGACTGATGTAGTTGGACTGTCCATGCCAGGTAACCTACACTTCTGAGTCTGTTCTGGTAGATATGACCGCCTATCCTCAACACTCCCTTGATTCAAAGCTGACTTTCTGTGAACAGTTTTAGGGCTCTCTGTAGAGAAGTCCTGGCTGGTGTCTACCACAGTTTTCTGATAGGACCAGTGTTGCTTGTATCTGAGATCTTCAGCAGTCCCAGGAAGGCATGACTTGTGTCTGGGATCCCGGCATCGAGCATCATCAGATTCTGCCGATACAAAACACAGAAATATAGTTAATATTCATGTAAACACCATGTGCATAGACACAGAAGATAAAATATAACCAGGCTGCTCAGTGCAAGTGACCAGCATCTGAACATATCATTTTATCTAAAATCCCATCCACACTGCACTACAGGATACTTTGTAACTGTTTTGTGGTGCCCCAATATAACTCTCGGCTGGCGTGATACTGACCACATCACCCATCTTGTTCCGATTGGTCTATAAAAATATAGGTCTAGCCCTATATTCCCTATACGCCTAAAAGGGACTTTCACTTTTTTTTTAAATACAACTGTAGCACATGACTGAGCGGCTGAATGTTGAATTTTGAACTAAGAATCTATATCATAGTACTCGGTACACTCCCATAAGCGCTCTGTCCCCATCTTCAGCAACAAGCGAAGAGTTAAATTCTGATGGCACCAGTTACTGTCTCAGTATATATTTGTCTTGCCCATCCCTTCAGTGTTGGTAACACCTTGCAGCGCTATTCTCTTCAGACCGTAATGATCTATCTGTGTCTCTGCACTGCTCACCTGCCCCAAAGGGCCCTCGCAATATCTAGCTTGTCATACATTAATTCACCACCAAGCAGTGCAGTCTATCTGACTGCTCATATCCCAACACACCGGCATACCTGTAGAAAATATTCAAAGGATGCTAACTACCCGGGACCTCTGAAGTGATGCTTGTCACTCTGCACGGAGCATGCCTGTGTCCACCTTCTCAACATGGCTTTAGGTGGAAATGGGGTTTCCGGGTCTATGCCTGTTTGATTCTCATCCATAAGATGTTAATCTTACAGAATGAAAATCTGGAGGTGGAAAAACTTGAGTTGCCCAAGCAACATGATCCTTATCTCAGTCTGTCTTAATAATTCCAAAGGTAACAACAAATACATTTGGAACCAAGCAGGCTGCAGAAAATAGTGGCCAGAACAGAAGAGCAGTGCTCTGTCCGTCCATCTCAGAAAAAAAATGATTTTTCTTCTGTTGTATTTTTTTTTTAAATCAATCTACAGCCACATGAAGATGATATACAATAAGACTACACAAATTTGTTATTCTTGAATTTGTTTTTCTCAATTCAATCTGGTGCAGTAATACAAAAATATTACAAGTTTATGTTAAATAGCTGTGAAGCTATGGCCTTTTTAGTAAACTAGAAATATGTGGTATCTGGGAAAGTGCCAGGGTTAATGGGCATGGTAGTCAGTGGGTTATGGGCTTGGTAGTCAGTGGGTTATAGGCTTGGTAGTCAGTGGGTTATGGGCTTGGTAGTCAGTGGGTTATGGGCATGGTAGTCAGTGGGTTATGGGCTTGGTAGTCAGTGGATTATGGGCTTGGTAGTCAGTGGGTTATGGGCATGGTAGTCAGTGGGTTATGGGCTTGGTAGTGAGTGGGTTATGGGCTTGGTAGTCAGTGGGTTAGTTCTCCTCTTCATGCATTTTTTTAAAGTCAGAATTTATGGCTTAGGTGTTGCAAAAGCGCTATGTAATGCCGGAGTGCCGGGTTCAATCCCAGCTGCTGATGGTTTGTCTTGCGCTGGTTTTGACAGTGGTGCCGAGAGCAATGAGAAAGCAATGCCAAACTACTAAACATAAAATATTCCTAGAAAAACCAGAACAGCCAAAAATGCTGGGCTTGGTTCTGCAACATCCTGCAAAGGATATGCAGCTAACTTGTATGTGTTTTTATTTGTGTGTACTTTAATTTAAAGCAGGCCTGTCTCCTTTGACCCAGTGGGCACTAGTGCAAGGACACTCTAGTTACATTGTTTCTTCCTCAACTTGTGTCCTTTCCATTGTCCCATTTTCTCAGTAATTATATCCTACTGCTAATGTGTGTCTGATTGCCAAACCTATTATTTGAGCAATATATATATATATATATATATACAGTTTCCCAGTATTTGTCAATCTCATGACTGATCAGAGATGTTTCCTTTGGAACTGGAGAGCATCTGCCAGAAAGGCAAGGGACCAAAAGTCTGCATACAAATTGAGCCAAATCTGTAAAACGGATACAAACACAAAATTCAAGTTCTGAAACAAGACTAAAAGTCCAGAAGTGGACGAACAACCAGTATTTTCTCCTGAGTTTGCAGTTGGTGAACACACACACACACACATACACACACACACAAAAAAGAAGATTTAACTTTCAGTTCATCAGACTAAGATGAACATGAGAAGTACACAGCTTTCAAAGGTTTAATTAGCAGAGCATGAACAAACTCAGTACCTGCGGCATTATTATCTGAGGAGTAACTGTCGTCTGTGACCATCAGACTGTGACTGTTGTAAGCTTTGATCCTCCCCTGGGCGATGCTAGAGGCAGCTTGCCACACCTGGGGTACCTTATGGACTGTCTGTGTTTTGATCAAATAATCTTTCTCATACTGCAGGCAGTCAGTCATGGGGTCCCAGGGCCTGGCGCTGAGGAGGTGAACCAACATGGAGTGATCATTCACTTTTTTCTTCATCAAATACGTGTTTCCTGATTGTCTCCCCCTTCCCTCTCTTTCTCTCTCTCTCTGTCTCTCTCTCTTTCTCTCTCTCTCTATATATATATATATTTATATAGACATACACACAGAAAAAAGTACAATCCACTCTCTAAAAAGTCCACACTGGTATCTATATGTCTGTCTATTGTCTTTCTTTACCTAATGCTGTTAGGCATCACAGGTACGGCTAATGATCAGTTTCTGGGACATACGCACTTGTTAGCTTGCTGAATGGTGACAGTGCTGAGTTTCAGCAAGTTGTTAACTCTATCTATCAATGTTCTTCTTGGTCTTCCTCTGCATCTAGATATTTGTATTCTCATCTTGTATGATCTTGCACATGGTGGGGCTGGGTTCATTCTGACCAGGTGGACAAACCATTTCAGTTTTTGTTTTTCAATAAATTTATAAAGGTTTTGTTCCCATCACTCTAATGATATCTTTGGTTCTTTTATGGTTTCTTCTTGTTTTTGAAATATTTTGACTGCTTTTCTCATACATCTAATTTCCCACATCGCTAGTTTCCACTCTTGCTCTTTTGTTAGTGTCAAGGCTTGGTAATGGTGATATAATGTTAGTAAAAATATTATATTCATGAGTCTTTTAGTTTCCATTGTATTTATAGGTGTTTCAGTACTTGGAAAAGTTGATAGGTGACACTGTTGGCTTGTTGGATTCTGGATATGACTTGGTGTACATCTTTTTTTTTTTTTTAAAGACATGAAAAATTGCTTGGTATACAACCTTCGTTTGGAATACAACTCCATACGCTAAATCTTGATTATTATTTTTTTTTTTGGGTGGGGGGAAGGGGGGTGGGGGGACACTTTAAAAACATTCTCTTATCTTGGTTATAAACTAACAAGATGATAGAAACATACGAAATGTATCCTTAACTTTTATTTTGAAAAGATTCTCTTATTTCTGTTAAAAATGTAACAGGACAAGTTGATTTTCCATTATGAGGCAGATTATCAACAGATATAGAATAATGCAGTTTTTTCACTAGAAATTAACCAGGCAGTTCATCTACGACATTTAAAGAAACAACAATATGAAAGTTTAAAACTCAGAAGGACTGTACAGACAACCTTTTAAAACAGTAATGTTTTAGAGTCATACCAGAGCTAATTAAACATACAGCACAAATCAATTCACTCTTTTATGTACACATTGGTCTATTGATTACTTCTTCTTTTTGTTACTATTACTGTTATTATTAAAAAAAGAGTTGGCACATTGCAATGTATTTGCAGCTAAGGTGCGATATCTGTGCTTTTTGGCACAACACATCCAAATCCAATAAATTGTGTAATTCTGGTCAGAGTGCATCTGCCTGAAAAGCGAGGGACCAATAATCTGCATACAAATAAGCCAGCTCTGTGAAGCTGATATACATGAACAACTCTTAAAAAGTTCTTGAACAAGACTCAAGTCTAAAGTGGATGAACAACCAGAACTTTCCCCCTGAGCTTACAGCCTGTGAGAATGAAGGGAAAAAAAAGAAGCAAACCCTTAATTAGTCACCTAAGGCCAAAAAAAAACACATGGAGAAGAGAGCTGGAGAATGAAGTTAAAAAGATGAGAAGGACATGGGGAGAGCATGCGATAGTAAAGGATAGAGCGACTTGTAGGGAGTTGGTTGAGGGACTATACTCTATTGGGGGTTAGATAGGCAGAAGAAAAAGAAGAAGAACCAAAAGAAGAAGCTGTTGAACAGTGACTTTGAGACTACTTACTCCACATGTTTGTAGATCCACTTGTTGGTGGCTGGGTCAAGTGTGAACCATTTAGGCATCCACTCCAGATTATGTTTATGTCTTTCCTTGGCCTCTATCCGTTGCCTCTCTTCTAGTTTATGTTTTTCTGCAGTTGCCATGTGCATGTCTTGTTCTATCACAGCCTCACTGACTTTCGCCCATAACCTGAGAATTGATGTACATGCAACATTACTACAACTTATGTAAATGTTAGTTGTGAATCCTTTACAGGACGTTGCAGAACCAACCATTTTTTGGCTGTTGTGGTTTTTCTAGACAAATTTACATCTAGTAGTTTGCCATTTCTTTCTAAACGGTCGGCTTCTTGATACTTCTGTCAAAACCAAAGCAAGGCGCAGGGCCCACAGCTGGGATCGAACCCGGCATTATGAAGCACGTTCGCAACGCCTGAGCCACAGACAATGACAATGGATTTAGGGAAAACTAAAACTGTATTTTACTAAATGAAGAACATTTTATGCAATAAATCCATGTCAATGAAGGGTAGAAACAGAATTATCACATGCTACATACAGCCAGTTTTAATATATGGCTATATGGCTATCTGGACAATTAATAAACACTCCAAACAAGGCTCTGGAGATGTGGTTTTACAGAAGAATCCTTACAATTCCTTAGACATGTTCTGGAGTCTATTTAGCAAGAAGACATTGGCGAAGAGTTGCCTTCTTCCTCTTCTTTGTGTTCGGTTTTGTATGCTCAGGTCAGATCATCAGGTGGGTTGCCTCAGTGAACTCGCACTGGTAGTCTGGTAGTCTTAGTTTCAGCTTCATAGCAAACGGGTCATCCCATCTTTGCTCCGCTCCTGTGCCAACGAAAAACACACAGAATGTTTATCACAGTATTAGAATTGCAGTTCATCATTGATGGTAGCAGAAGTCGCCAACAGATCAGCAGTTGCCCACGCGATCAATTTTAATCACATACGGGCACCACAACACTGCACGACAGGCATCGCGCCATTTTATGAATCTACAATTCACACCAACACGTTCGTCACAGTCGAAAAAAAATTTAAAATGCAATCCGCAGCTCACAGGGTCACGCCATGCATTCAACTCAGAAGCTGGGCGACGAAACTATATCCAGTCTACAAATGGAGCAAAAATGCATCAGCCACCGTCCGGCAGAAGCAAAATATGTGCCTCTGTTTCGAACAGTGCCGCTGCCTAACGTCCATTTTGACCGGAAGGTCAACTGGCAAGTCAGCAGCAGGTCCTTCCATAGCTTGCTCTGCACTCATATCTAATTAATTTGAGTGTTGAGTCTGCAGTGTTCACTGTTTAAGCAAAAATCTGTGACTTGATCAGTTCTGATCAGGTGTTTAAGGAAATCTTTTTATAGGTATAACCTGTGTGGACATCGACACACAAACTGATACATGCTGTTGAAGATCACAGACTGTGGAGAACTTGATCACCCACACCACTCGGCAAGGCATTTGATGATGATGATGATATAGGAAAAAGCTGCAGTTGCATAGCTATTTTTTTTTCCCTTCAGCAATTGAGCTATGTGAACCACAAGCAGACATCTTTATTTGTGCTGGCGCTACCCAAGAAACATATAATATTATCCCACAGTATCTCTGTTAAACTCCTTTAGATCTATGCCTGAACTTCTTTTATGCTCAAAGCCTTGGAATATAAGAGTCAAGGTAATATCTGATTGGGACTGAACACAACTATTGATTGAATGAAGGCACAGGTCACTAGCACAGAAAAAATCTGCCATGAACACAATACCATGGGGCCAGCGGGTAGAAGTGCTTACCAATCCACTCCTGTGGCTTCTTTAGCCCTTATGTGTGACTGTATTGAAAAAAAAACTTTCCCTCTCTCTCTCTCTCTCTCTCTCTCTCTCTCTCTCTCTCTCTCTCTCTCTCTCTCTCTCTCTCTCTCTCTCTCTCTCTCTCTCTCTCTCTCTCTCTCTCTCTCTCTCTCTCTCTCTCTCTCTCTCTCTCTCTCTCTCCCAGAGACAAAACACATATGAATATATGTACATTAAATATGAGAAAGATAAAAGGGACAAGGGAAGGAAACATAGACAGAACATAAAAGATGATCAGTTACAGAGATAAAGTCAGTCAGACAGTGATAAACACAGATATATGAGATATGGAGACAAAAGTTAGATTATAGAGACACAAGAACAGAGAGAGACAAAAGACAGATTATAGAGACACAAGAACAGAGAAAAGAGAGACAAGACAATTTTGAATTATGACAGACAGATGGATGGACGGACGGACAGACAGGCGGACGGACAAGCTGATGGAGCCATCACCATACATACTTTTAACTCAGTAAAACTGAGCATTGCAGAAACAAGAAACCTTCAACTTGGCAAGTGAAGCAGATTTGTTTACTTGACCTGCACTTTCAGAACGATCCAGGGTTATCAGGAAAAATTAAGGGAAGCAAAAGTGGGTGGTATGATGCTGAACATATCCTCAATTAAGTGTCAAGTATAGCTCAATATACCATACACTTCAAGGCATGAAAACAGTGTCTTTTTGTGTGTGTTAAATTTGGCAAACAGATTATTATAGTCTGGATAGAATGGTTCAACAGGGAGTGACCTGGGTATCTGGCTGACTCTCAACGCTTCTGGACTTACCATCATCGTCAGTTTTTAAGGGGAGAAAAAGTCAAGTTCAACCAGCATCCCTGAAGGGAGAGCTTCAGGTTATAATTATGACTAGGTTATGTGCATCATACAGAATGGCTTTGCACTGCACACCACCAAAAATCCTGAAGAGGACTCTTGCAGTGCCGATGTGATCAAAGGAAACAGACCCAAATACTGTCCCAACTGGCAACAGAGGTAATGTACAGGCAGATCTACAAACACTTAAAGTCATCGACTGGAAAGAGATGGCCTATCACAGAGATGAATGAAAGTAGGTGATATCTGCAGCAATGAACATGATGGGTTTGGAATGCTGAAGAAAAGAAGAAGAAGGAGGAGGAGGGGGAGAAGATGGCAGTGAAAAAGACATAGAAGTGAATGATCAATTTATGACCAAAAGTAACAAGGGTTGATACCTTTCAGACTCATTGTCATTCTGTAGCTCCAGGGGCACGGTATACCTTAGCAACCTCTTTGACCTGGTCTCAAGACTCGGATCCCAGAACAGAACTTTCTCCTGAATATAAATTACAGACATTAGGAAACAATAACATCATTATCATTATCACTGCTTACATCATCAATACTGTCACACATCATGAGTCTTATATTTCTAACTTCAAGCAATAGGAGTACAGCTCTTTTTCCACTTTTTATAGGCATAATTAAAAAAAAAATACATTATAACATGCATACCACCACCTCCACCATCTCCTCCTCCTCCTCCTATTTATTTTTCTTCTTTTCCTTCTTCTTCTTCTTGATCACTGACTGTAAACTATGGGGGGGGGGGGGGGGGGGGGGGGTAGTATTTTATTATCTTGTGGATTTTACTTTAGTCCTGTTCCAAAGCTTGAGTTTTGCATACACATGCATTTTACAGATCTGGCTTATCTGTATACAGACATTTGCTTCCTCACCCATCAGTCAAATACACTCTGACTTTTACCACACACAAAAACATCTAATTATTCAACTTTTATGACATGCTTATTAGAGAGGCAGCTGGTCTATTATTCAATACTGTTGTTAAGGATGTCAAGAGTCTTAAGCACTTGACATAAAGGTGCAGGTGAAAAGGAAGATGTTGACAGTTTAAAGATAGCCACCTCTCTTTTCATGAGTAGTGTTCTTTTATCCATTTTTCTTTCAGTGAAGGAGTGAAATCTATAGAAATCCAGTGGGGAATGAAGGTCTAGCACACATTCCTGTCAGTCCAGCAAGTGGAGTGGGAAGTTTCACAATGGTGTGAGTTCTATGAGACTGTTCACACCAAGCAGTGACCAAACAGTCAAGTGCAGCCCAGCCTGTCAGTCATGAACACAACATCAAACAGCCCACTCCACCAACCATAAACACAACCAAAAGCCCACTCTGCAAGTAAAGAACACAACATCAAACAGCCCAATCCACCAATCATAAACACAACCAAAAGCCCACTCTGCAAATTATGAACACAACATCAAAAAGCCCACTTTACAAATCATAAACACAACCAACAGCACACATGCCAGTGGTTAACACAACATCCAAAAGCCCACCCTGCCAATCATCAACACATCTAACAGCCCACCCTGCTGGTCATCAACACATCCAACAGCCCACCCTGCCAATCATAAACATAAAACACCCCACCCTACCAATCACAAATATATTCAACAGCCCACCCTGCCAGTCATAAATATATCCAACAGCCCACAGTACCAATCATAAATATATCCAACAGCCCACCCTGCCAGTCATAAACACAGCCAACAGCCCACCCTACCAATCATAAATATTTCCAACAGCCCACCCTGCCAGTCATAAACATAGCCAACAGCCCTCATAAATATATCCAACAGCCCACCCTACCAATCATAAATATATCCAACAGCCCACCCTGCCAGTCATAAACACAGCCAACAGCCCACCCTACCAATCATAAATATATCCAACAGCCCACCCTGCCAGTCATAAACATAGCCAACAGCCCTCATAAATATATCCAACAGCCCACCCTGCCAGTCATAAACACAGCCAACAGCCCACCCTACCAATCATAAATATATCCAACAGCCCACCCTGCCTGTCATAAACATAGCCAACAGCCCTCATAAATATATCCAACAGCCCACCCTGCAAGCTTACCCTGTTGGTCAGTTCTTTGATGTAGATCTGCTGGTCCCAGTGTCCTTCAAATGTACACAACACTTCACTGCCCATACAGATACGTCCAGTAATTCGATTTGCTGATTCTCCATTTCCGAAAAATGGCTTTAAAATTTTAAAGACATGTAACATGATAAGATAATAACTCTCTTCATGGCAACAAAAACAAAATCTGAGAACTTTTTTTTTTTTTTTTTTCATTTTATTCCTCATGTTTGCTTGCAATAAAGTTAAAGTTTTGAAGATTGACTGACTGCACTAGGCAATCCCATATTGTGGCTCAGTCTCTTTCTGCAGAATGGGCGGACACTATTGCACCAAGTGGAAACTCTGTAGCACTAGCAATTATTCTCCAGGGATCTCCGTAAATTGAAGGGCATGTCAGTATCGCAAACCATGACCTTCAGAGAAAAAGGCAAATGGCGTGACCATGGAGAATCCCTATGTCAGACCTGTTATGTTTTTGTACATTACGTTTAAATTCTTGTTTTAGGTCACATCTTTTATCCATTGACAAGTTATGAGCAGTTGCTCAAATTCCTTTAGTGTTTAAATAACCTAGTTAGCTAGTTGACATGAAATTCACAGCTCACAGTGCTGCACCAAGCACTGAACTCAGTAACTGGGTGAGGGAACCTTTAAACTCATGTTCCAGAAATAGGAAACTAAGCATCAGCAAAACTAGCTGGTCACAAGCAACTTTTCAGAGCACTGGTGGTCATTCAGCTACTGGCCATTTGGGCTGGAAACCCATGTGCAAGCTTCAAGATGTTGCTGGGACTAACAAGGTTTTCACCAGTTGGGACAGTGCACATTTTGTGTGATTTCTGCTGGCATACAAGACTGTTAAATTAGAACAAGTAGTCTAGATTTAAAGTCAGACTAAACTGTTTAAGTTATGCCATGGTGTTCAGCAGGAACAAGCAGTAAATCTCAGGATTCCATTGAAAAGAAGTGAAATATTCTGCCATACTTCTAGACACATCTAGGGTTTCTGATGGGGTCTGGAGAGAGAATACTGGACTGTTAAGCTGGAATAAGTAATCCAGGTTGTTAGGTCAGACCAGATGGCTAAGTTATACCAGGTTGTTTTCCAGGAAAAAGTAGTAGATCTGGTTTCCAGTAAAAATAGTTACAATATTCTACCATATTTCTAGACATATCTAGGGTTTTTCTGATAAAGGCTGGACAGAGGGAATTTCTGACTATAGAAAAAAAAATACACACTGAATTACTGAACTAACCTTCAGCTTGAAGTCTAGATCACAGTGATAGCCTGTCTTTGGGCAGTCCAAAGTGACTTTCCCTCCCATTTCCATTGTCAGTGTTCCCAGCAGAATTCCTGAAATGTGTTCAGACACTCACAAATGAATGTGGGGACACTTTTCTCTCATTCCCAAATATCATCTTAACATGGAATGTGTGCTGCATTTGTACTTACCCTCTCTCTTTCTCTCTATCTATCTGTCTCTCTAAGCCTAGAATCTTTAGTTCTTTCTTATTATTTTCTGCCCTTCATCCCCCAATATATTTAATCAAACAGGTATCGATCACACTATCCTTCACTATTGCTTGTAGCTTCACCCTAAATCTGCCCCATCTTTTTAACTTCACTCTGCAGCTTCATCTTCCGCCTATTTTAATTAAATTAGTTAAAAAGACTAGATTGGATAAGATGCAAGAATGGCGAAGCTAAGCTGACAGCTGTCTGTAGAGCAGAACTGATCTGACTTGACTGTTTTCCTTTCAGGTCTGCCATCTGAAGTCAGACACTCCTACCACTCAAATAACCACCTACCCTGTGTGGGTGTCTGGAGTCTAATGTTAGGGGAAAAACAGACCAGATAACACTGCACTCTAACAAGCCTGTTGTAGCAGGTAACTAACTGGGAGTCTGTTGAAACCGGATGTGATGGGCTGAGAGGGGCAGATATTACTTTTGGGACCAAGTAGTTCTTAATTCAGCACTGTCTATCCTAAAGGTGGCCGGTTCTGCACCACTTGGTGGTGAACTGATGTATAATAAGCTAGACGTTGTGAGGGCACATTGGGAGCGAGTGAACAGTGCGGAGGCAAAAATAGATCATTACGGTCTGAGGAGATTGGCACTGCGGGAAGTTACCAGGAGATCTGGCCAACACTCAACACTCAACGGAAAGGTGAGGTGGATGTACAATCAGACAGCTACTGGTACCATTGGAATTGTAACTCTTTGCTTGCTGCTGAAGATGGGGGACTGAGCACGTATGGGAATGTTCTGAGTGCTATGATGTAGATTTGTAATTCAATATTGAAAAGTAATGCTTCGGGCATAGAGACAGTACATGACATGGAGGTAACATTCACTCTCAGTAATGCTCATACAGGATACCAAAACTCTAAAGAAATGTGCAGACAGGACATTTACACTTTGCTAAATAAGACATACACTAAGAAGCACAGAAGACTAGTATCATGCCAATACAATACTATAAGAGAGGTTATGACTATCTTGGTGGCTTTGGTTTGGTAGCTTCAATGGGTTTTAAATATGCTGATTCACGTGTGGGTTTGAAGGACAATTGTAGGAAAAAAGGACTCACTACCTCCTTAATAAGCATGTCCTAAGAGCCAACTAATTAGGCGTTTTCTTTGGGGTTGGAGTGCATATGTCTGAGAGGCTAGGAACCAACAGTCAGCATACAAATGAGCCAGATCTTCTTTTTCTTCTTTGTTCACTTGCTGTAAGCTCTGGCAGAAAGTCCTGGTTGTTCGTCCATTTAGACTTTGGCTTTGTGCCAGGATCTGAGTTTTGTGTATACATCTGCATTACTGGCTTATTTGTGTTCCTTGGTTGTTCCTTGATGCTCCGGCAAATGCACTCCAACTTCAAAAAAAGCTCCTAATTAGTTGACTGCTACAACATGGTTGCTGGGAAGGCAGTGGGTCTATTCTTGTTTTTCTCAGAACCCACATGGAGAAAGCCAGATCTATGAAACAGATGTGTTTTGGAACAGGACTAGAGTAGTCGAGTGGACGAATAATGAGAACTTTCTATCAGAATTATTTACAGCCAGTAAATGTAAAGAGAAGGAGGAGGAGAAGGAAGAAGAAGTAGAAGAAGATGAAGAAGAAGGAGGGGTAAAAGGAGGGGAAGAAGAAGAAGGAGGGGGAGGAGGAGGAGGATAAGAAGAATATACTGGGGGGAAAAAATCATTCAGTACCCCAGAAGACAGAAAGCAGTGAAAACCAAACAATATTATCCAAAGGAACATATTCTGTTATAAACAAATGTGTACTATGTTACAATACCTTTACAGTGTGCGTAAGGCATGGTGATGAAGTAATCTTCCCCCCTCTCCAGGAAGGTCAGACTAGCCACACCTTCTAGAATGGCAGAGATTGAGTTTCCTGAAACAAACAAGGCAAGTTTATAGAGCTCTAGGAAACAGTTTCATTTGTGTTATCAACAGACTGCATAATTCAAGGCTCTACAGACACTTCCCCCCTCCCCTCCCCCTCCCCCCCAAAAAAAACATGCACACACACACACAGACAGAGAGAGAGAGAGAGAGAGAGAGAGAGAGAGAGAGAGAGAGAGAGAGAGAGAGAGAGAGAGAGAGAGAGAGAGAGAGAGAGAGAACTCTCAACTCCACAATGCAATCTTTTGTTGTTGATTTGATGTGGGTTGGTGGGAGAGACTATATTCAACCCTGCTGAAGACAGCTTTGGTTATAACTGTGGTCTGGTTTTATTTCCGCCAGGTTGGCTTAAACAGTCTGTTGTGCCATTAGTTGTGGATTATTTGTCCTAAAATGTATATGTGATGTTGTCACTTGTGAACATGTCTGGTTCTTCTCTGTTAGTCCTGTGGGCCGGGTAGGGCTTCAGTTTTGCCTGTCCCATTTGTTATTGTTGTTGTTGTTGTTGTTGCTGTGCTTCCTTTGTTTTGGATATGACTGTTATTTATGATCGGATGTAATCCGTTTTTATTTCTGAGATTCTAATCTTCGTAAATTATAACAAGTCAGGTTGATACTTTAAAAAGTTTGGTGCTATAGCAGACCTTTGACAATAAGAGGGGTCCACAGGTCTTAGCGATTTGGCATTTACAGGACAGAACAAGCAAGTCAGAAGTTGACAAGTAACTTATGTAATAAAGGACATTTCTTGAATGTCAGACACAGAGTACTGAAATGTTGTGTGGAGACTTGTTCTGCTGTGTAGTATAGAATCTTGTAAATGGACAAGTTTGAAAGAGCTTTAAGATTTAGTTTCTGAGACAAAAGTCCTGAATGACTTTAGGCAGCCATAGTAAACAACAACAGCATTTGAAAAAGCTAATGACAATAATAAAAAACACACGGAGAGTGAAGTTAAAAAGATAAGGAAAACATGGGGGGAGCTGCATATGATGGTGAAGGATAGAACGACTTGGCATGAGTTGGTTCAGGGCCTCAGCTCCATTAAGGGATAGAAAACTGAAGAAGAAGAATAAAAATAAGCACATTGTATGAAACTACTCTATGAAAAACAGGCATCTTATGAGAAAAGAGGCACTGAAAATACCATGATTAGATAAGCATTAAACTAGACAGAGAGAGGCAGAACAAAAGATGGTAGGATGGAAGAATAGCATCAATATAAGTGATCCAGAACAGCAAAGACCGAGATCTGTACAGAGACATAAATGCCTACAGCATTTAGTAAAACAGATGATGTTAATAATGTCAGGATGTAATAAGTGAACTAAATCGCTATTTCTTAATAAAATCATAGTAACTGCATGGTTCTTCTTCTTCTTCTTCTTCTGCATTTGTTCTTGAATGGTGGTTGATACACTGTGTTGTGGGCTGAAAGGATAGCTACTGAGTTGAATGCATTGCACAACACTGTGAGCTGCAGATTCAATTTGGGATGTGTTTTTTTACTGTGACCAACGTGGTGTGAACTGTAGATTCAGAAAATGGTGTGTGGCCTGTCATCGCAATATTGGTGGTGCCTATATGTGATTAAAATTGATCCTGTGTGCAATTGCTGATATATTGGTAACTTCTGCTACCTTCGATGATAAACTGAATTTCTAATGGTGGACTGTTTGTGTTAGCACTTCTGATGGCTACCGTATGCTTTTAATGCATGTGTATGCTAGTGCATATGCTGAGACAGCAGTGTGTCAATCTCTCCACAAGGAACAGTGATGAACATTCTGTGTGTTTTTCATTGGCACAATTATGGGGTGACCAGTTTGCTATGAAGCTGAAACTAAGATTATCTTCACACATTATCAAATAGGAAAAGAACAAGAAAACCAACCATAAAATTTGGATTTGGCCAGAATGCAGCCATTGATGATGAACCCATCATGTCTGTTTGTCACATGGAATGCTGAGATTGGTGGATGATGGGATATCTGAAACAAAAAATCATCAACAGTAAATACACAGTTCAAACTGTTAAGTGGCTAGTTACGATTGGATAATTATGGATGGTTTGTTATAATTCTTGGTTAGTTGGTTATGATTTGTGTTATGACAAACTGGTTATGACTGGTTTGCTATGATACTGGTTGGTTTGATTGGTTATAATCAGCTGGTCATTGCTGATTTGTTATGACTGGTTGGTTATGACTGGGTGATTATAGTAGTTATGGTTTGTTTCTTATGACTGCTTGGTTATGGTTGGTTTGTTCATGATTGATTGGATTTTGGTTGTTTTAATATGACTGGTTTGTTGTAGCTGGTTGGTTTGTCATGGCTGATCAGTTATGACTGGTTAGTTAAGGCTAGTTTATTATGACTGGCTGATTATAGTTGGTTTGTTATGATTGGTAGGTTTCTGACTGCTTTGTTATATAACTGGTTGGTTATGGCTGGTTCATTATGATTGGTTTGTTATGATTGGTTTGTTATGACAGGCTGGTTTGTTATAATGGGTTTTCTGTGACTTGCTGGTTTGTTGTGATAGGTCTGTTATTGATTAACTGGTACATTAACTACTTAACCATTAACATCATCATTATCAAGTGCTTTGCCGACTGGCATGGGCGATCCTGCCTCTCCATAATCTGGGATCCGCAACTGTGTGTTTCAATTTATGTGTTGACACCCTTCATGACAAAACCCTGTAAAGAATCTTCTCACGCAGTCTTCCTCTGTCTCTCTTTCCACAGATCTTTCCAGTGGTCATAATATGTTCCTGTTTCCATCTTCTCATAATATGACCCCAAAAAAAATGATAACTGTCTCTTTAGTGACAAGCTGTCTTCGAGCACTCGCCTCTTTCAAAATATCTGGGTTGCTCTTCTTAGCCTTCCAAGTAATTCTAAGGATACTATAGTTTATAAGAATGACTGAATCTGCGCCTTCCTTTTCTTCAGACCCTTTTTCCTCTAGGGAACAAAAGCCCTCAACCACCTCATGTTATAAGACACCCTTAATTAAATGTATATAAACATATATGACTGACCTGCTCTGCAACATAGAAGGTACGGCTGTTTGTTTCTGGATGGACCCAATAACAGCGGAATGTCTCGCCAATAATTGGATTATACGGTTTCTTCAAACCCTGTAGGAAAAGTACTGTAAACCTGTTATTATCTGCAGCAATGGGACAATAGTAACTATTTATGAGAGGTAAAAATATTAAACTTTTTTTTTTTTTTTTAATGTTTGTGCCATCTGCACAGTGAAAGTTGATTGCAGTGTCTTTGATAATATCATACGGTGAGGCCCCAGTTTCTTCCGTTGTGCAACTCTCATACCATCTTCTGAAAATCAAACAAGTTTTTTTTTTTCAAAACAATCATTCTAAAAAAAAATTTTTTTAATTAACAATAAATTTAATTGGGTTGACATGAGAGCCACAGCAAATTTTTTTTTTTAAGTCTGGCTCCGTCAGTATCTGAACCCCACACCTTAGGATCCACAGGTAAGCATCTAGCAGCTACACAACAGCAGCTTCTGTCAAAACTGGCAAAATTAGGTGGAAACTACTTGTGTGACTTCCAGAGTCCCATTCTGGGAGGGGGAAAAACACACTCACTGTCTCCCTAAAGAATGATTTGCGTGGTATCTCTATCATCCCCTGATGCACTGGTGTTGTCCCTAGAGGACCCATCAAGGGCAGCCACATGCTGACTGGTTCACCCTCAAGGAAAGCAGGAGCACAACATGGGCATTCCCCGCATTCCAAGATAAGTAAAAGTAAAGTAGTAAAGGACCCTGCCTTTAGGAGTATAGGGCATATAGGGCTAGACATAGATTTTTATAGATCTACGGCACAAGCTGGGTGATGTGGCACCTGGTACCCACTCAAGGCTGGGTCGACCTGGGAGCCAAGGTCACTTTTAAAGAAAAGTCCAGCTCCGCTGGGGAGCAAACCCACGACTTTCCGGCATTCCAAGGAAGCTGTCATAAAAGCAGAGCCAATACAATGTGCTGGGGTACTGGGCTTATCAAAGGAATCATGACATCCTGCACGTGACTGCTTAACCTCACATCTGTATAAAATGTAGCGAGGAAGTGTGCGGGTCACCTCTTCTCACACCATACTGTCTTCTTCTTCTTCTTCTTCTTCTGCGTTCATTCTAAAAAGGGATGGTTGGCATTTTGTGGTGTGGCTCACAGCTAGTCTGTAACAATCTGTGCCATTCGACCCAACATTTCAGATTTCAGCGAATCCCTAATTACAACATGATCATAGTGGCCAGTGGATCTACTATTCACCCCCCCCCCCAACCCCCCCACACCCAATGAAGCCCCAGGAACTCACACGGGGACACCATATAATACAATGATCAGGTATATCTGAAAGTCTAACAGTTTACATTACTATAGAAGCATGCCTATATAAAAGAAAACACTTACTGGTTGCATGTCATCATCTAGATTCACAGGGTATTGTTGTTTTTGTTGCTGTTGGCACTTTTCCAGACACTAGTGTTATATTATACAATAGGGGGTTATGGGAATCACCACTCACTGTGATGGCGGGTGTAACTAGCAGGATCCCCTCACTTCCAAGTAAAGTCTTCTAGAATTAGAGCTTGGGATTTTCATGACCACTGTGGCCATCTCATGATTTCAACTAAATTCTCTTCAGAGGCTCAGATATGAACTACACTAACATTCTCCTTTATCATCATTCCCTTCCTGACCCTCCCTTCCCCCCTCTCCCTTCCCCCTCTCCCTTCCTGACCCTCCCTTCCCCCCTCTCCCTTCCTGACCCTCTTTCCCCCCCTCTCCCTTCCTGACCCTCCCTTCCCCCCTCTCCCTTCCTGACCCTCCCTTCCTGACCCTCCCTTCCCCCCTCTCCCTTCCTGACCCTCCCTTCCCCCCTCTCACTTCCTGACCCTCCCTTCCCCCCACTCCCTTCCTGACCCTCCCTTCCCCCCTCTCCCTTCCTGACCCTCCCTTCCCCCCTCTCCCTTCCTGACCCTCCCTTCCTGACCCTCCCTTCCCCCCTCTCCCTTCCTGACCCTCCCTTCCTGACCCTCCCTTCCCCCCTCTCCCTTCCTGACCCTCCCTTCCTGACCCTCCCTTCCCCCCTCTCCCTTCCTGACCCTCCCTTCCTGACCCTCCCTTCCCCCCTCTCCCTTCCTGACCCTACCTTCCTGACCCTCCCTTCCTGACCCTCCTCCTCCCCCCCCCCCCTTCCTCCATGCATCACAGTCCACGGCATGCTGTTTCTGTGAATCCACTTCAATATCATGACTGTCCTGCCAGATTCATTGGTCTGAACACAATTACCTGGACTTTTTCTGGTTACCTTTGGTTTCTTGTAGAAGCCAGATAAGTACCACTTGACAACCATTTTCATTCTTTCCAAAGCAGTCTCTTGTTGTACAGCTCTGAGGGAAAACACAGTTATATTTCAGTAACTAACAGCTTTATAGACAAAGGATGAGAATACCCTGGACGGATAAAAAGAGTAATGAAGATGTATTGAAAGAAACTGATTCTAAATGAGAACTGACTGCCCACATCAGAGAAAGACAATCTACATTCTTTGGTCATGTAATGAGGAGAAAACTGGAGTACATTTCAACAGTAGGAAAGTTAGAGGGGAAGAGAAGCAGAGGGAGACCATGAGAACAGATGCTGGACAGTCTGACATCATGGCATAAAGGATCATCTGTGACAGAGCTGATTGAAAGTACATGAGACAGAAGGTTGTGGATAGACATGACTACCAATGCCACATGCATGGACTTTAAGAAGAAGAAGAAGAAGAAGTAAAGTAAATGACCTTTCTCACACCAGCAGCATACTAGGCACATGATGCCAGGCTCATGTTTTAGAGACCAATCGACACTCACTGGGTGATGTTGTCAACACCTCATTCTGGCCACTTACTTCCTAGGACTTTTTCTGCTACCCAATTAAGGCTGCGTCAACCTGGGCATTTTAAAAAACTCTGACACTTGATGCCAATTCTAACCCACAACCTATGGGCTAGCAGGTGAGCATTTTGCTATAATGCTACCACAGCTCTCTCATTTATAGATCACTGAACACATATTTTTCTTTTATGTGTTTTAATTTTACTTTATTTGTTGTAGACATAATTTTTTTTATTTATGTTGTTTCTGAAGCAGAAAAGAAAGAAGAAGAAGAAAAAGAAGAAGAAGAAGAAGAAGGAAAAGGAGGAGGACAAGGAGGAGGAGAAGAACAACAACAACAAAAAAGGAGGAGGAGTAGAATAAGAAGGAGGGGAACTAAGAGGAAACAAAGTTAAAGCAGCAGCAGGAGTGGAATGATGAACTAGGAGGATGAGGAGGAAAATTAAAAGCAGATGGGAGATAAAGCAGGAGAGAAAAAAGAAGAAGAGAAGGAGGAGGAATTAGAAGAAAGAAAAGTCAATGAGGAAGTAGAACAGATGGAAGAAGCAGCAGCAGAAGAAAAAAAGGTCAAGGAAGCAAGATTACTGAGAGCGACAGAACAGGAAATGAACAAAGACGAGGCAGATGAAGATGCTGACCTTGACAAAATGTCCGCATGATAATAATAATCAGTCAGCTTATCCAGGAATGACCTTGGCTCAAGAATAAATGTTGGAAGTACAACTTTGGACAAGTCCATGCCTGGTCGGACCTAGGAGGCAAAAAATATGAAATTACAAACTATTTATTCAAGCATAACACTGTTATTGAGTTCAGGCATTTTGTACTGTTAATTTCTTTGTTAATGTCTCCAACATTACACAATAAAGAAAAGAGATGGACACAATTAAAGAAACAAAACAGCAAGAAAAGCTCACAATAAGCATAGACAATTCAAAGTTATCAAAATAAAAAATTAGGCTAGATCAATCTAATAACTAAGGAACTAACTGGTCTCTGTAGCACTGACCACCCACTGCTCGCTTTGAATTGTACTTTTTGCCAGTAGGCTAAACCACACTTTGCTCCCTGCACAAATTAATATGGTTGTACTGATAACAGAGACCCAGGTTCGAATCCCTGATAAGGTTGGGGATTTTTTTGGCAAAAATAAAATCCTTATCTGCACAGTCCATGGCTGCTGAACTAGCCACGTGGCCTTAAACAATCCTCAGGCTCATAGACCTACACTATAAAAGTGGTAAATACTGCCATCAATGGCTGTTTTGGGGCAGTACAGGGTCACACGCAGCTTCCGTGGCTTAGACGTTGAGAGTCCGACTCGTGATCCAACGTACCGCGATCAAAACCCACCGCTGGCTGCGCGGATTTTTATCATGGTATGGGGCGCCGCAGGTCGACCCAGCCTAGAATGGGTACCAGGATGGGCTGTCCTGGGAAAGTAAAGACAGCTGGCATAATGCTGACCACATTACCCACAGAGTGCTGATGGTCTGTAAAATTATGGGCGCTCTTCCCATATGCCCGATACGCCTATAGGCGTGGAAAGGGATCTTTACTTTTTTTTTTTACTTACTGGGTCACATAGATCAGTATGTTTAGTTCATTCAGGTACTTGTTACCCTGTAACACTCATATAATGTAGCCACAATTTATAACTGCCTCTTTCAGGCGTTAGCCTCTTTCAAAACATCTAGACCAGTGGTTCTCAACCTTCCTAATGCCGTAACCCTTTAATACAGTTCCTCATGTTGTCTTGACCCCCAACCATACAATTATTTTTGTTGATACTTTATAACTTCAGTGAATATGTGTTTTCTGATGGTCTTAGACCCCTGTAAAAGGGTAGTTTGACCCCCTAAAGAACAGCTGATCTAGATAAAAGTAAAAAAAAAAAAAAAAGGTTAGCACAATTACCTGCTTGACTAATGTCCAAATTAAGCTTTTGTTCTCTTCATTCACCTCCTCTGTCTGACAGGCATCACCTTGCTGATGAAGGAGTAAATGAACATAAATGGTTAGTGAGTGGCAGTCTCAACTTTATGCAAACTGCTCCATTCCTGTGACAGCTTATAAAAAAACACAGAATGGCTAATACTGACCTGTGATAAATATGTTAAACCAACAGCAGTCCCAGCAAAGTATCATCCTCATCATGTGCCCTGCCAACTGGTGTAGGTGCTCATACGACTCCACAGATCAAGTTCCATGGTTGCCTGGAACAGCTCTCTTGATGATATCCCTCCATGCCATCATTTCAGCCCATCCAGCATCATCTTTCTTGATCTTCCTCAACCCCTCTTTTCACTGATATTTCCAGTTGTCACGATGTTCTCTAGTGTCTCTCTTCTCATTATGTGGCCAAAGAACAGTGTGTGTCTTTTTCTTATTGTTGTATATAGAGATCTACTTTCATTAGCTTCTTTCAAGATATCGTTGTTAGTTACTCTGGCTGTCCAAGGTATTCATAACATTCATTTCAAATTCTTCTTAATTGTTCACTGACATTCCAAGATTCACTGCCATACAGCAGAACAGGTTCTATGTAACATTTTAGCACCATCTTTCTGACATTAAATGACAACGATTTATTGCATAAGATATTTTCAGCAAAGTATATATACATGCATTAAAAGCATATTTATGCATTAAAAGTAAGGCCAAAAATGCCAGCACAAACAGTTAGCCACTAAAATCACAGTTCATCATTGATGGAGCAGCAATTACAACAAATCAGCATTGCACATGCAATATTGCACAAGAAACTGCTAGTTCTGTGGTAACAGACCATCCACTGTTTTCTGAATCTACAGTTTTCAACACTCAAACTACCTTGGGCATAACAAAAAAAAACATTCCTGCATGACATTCACAGCTCACAGTTTTGTATATGCACCTAATAGCCGGGCGACAGAACTGTACTTTTAGCTTATATATGGGAAGGGGGTGGGGAAGGGCGGCTAGAACAACAAACTGTGGCCAGAAGTGAATTACATGCCTAAACTCAATGATCTGTCTGCTATCCCCCATACTGCATTGGCAGCTGAACATAATTACATTCAAAGTTGTTTAACTATGGCAGGCAAATAGATACTGTGCAGAATGTGGAACACAAATTAATATCTGCAACACAAAAACTATGATACATAATGAAAAGGAAAGACCAACAACAATCAACTTCACAGAAAATTGAGAGATACAATCAGTAGCAGATTTCCCCTATCTAGGAGAGACTGAATGTTAGAAATATTACAACTACAGCTGAGTTAAAAAACCCACAGAGGACTCTCATATTCCCACATGAAAAAAGACACTAGCCGATGTAGGCTATCCTCCGAATAACGGTCGGTAAAGATGGCGGGCGCAAAATATCCTTTCAAGCCACATTCACGCGACTACCGCCACGAGTCCCCCACGCCGCTCATGCGGCGTGGATTGGGGCTTAACTAGATGGCTAGGACTCACGAGCAAAGCTTTAGGAGATGCGGAACCTGCTGCTCGTGGGTCCTAGCCGGAGAACCACAAATTAAGTCGCTCGAGAACCGCAAATTAGGTCACATGACTGTGGCTCGAAAGGATATTTTGCTGCCGCCATCTTTACCGACCGTTATTCGGAGGATAGCCCCGATATACATGATTCAAGAAACACTCTAAAGAAAATGGGTTAATATTAAAATTTATAATATACTGGCCCATGAAACTATGGTTGGCACAAGCTGATATTGTGGTTAACAGCTGCTCTGCAATTTCAGAAAACTATTAATTAGTCAACTTTTATGGCTTGCTTCATTTTCAAAGAGGCACTGAGTTTATTTATTTATTTACTAAACCCTAAAGAAGGACCCCTGGAATTCACATTAGGACAGCGGTTCTCAACCTGTGGGTCCCGGCCCTTTTGTGGGTTGAATTATCCTTTCAAAGGGGTCACCTAAGACCATAGAAAACACATATTCACTGAAGGTATGAAGTAGCCTTGAAAATGATTTAATGGCTGGGGGTTGCCACAACATGAGGACTGCAGCATTAGGACGACTGGGGGTTGCCACAACATGAGGATTGCAGCATTAGGACGGCTGGGAGTTGCCACAACATGAGGACTGCAGCATTAGGACGGCTGGGGGTTGCCACAACATGAGGACTGCAGCATTAGGACGGCTGGGGGTTGCCACAACATGAGGACTGCAGCATTAGGACGGCTGGGGGTTGCCACAACATGAGGACTGCAGCATTAGGACGGCTGGGGGTTGCCACAACATGAGGACTGCAGCATTAGGAAGGCTGGGGGTTGCCACAACATGAGGACTGCAGCATTAGGACGGCTGGGGGTTGCCACAACATGAGGACTGCAGCATTAGGACGGCTGGGGGTTGCCACAACATGAGGACTGCAGCATTAGGACGGCTGGGGGTTGCCACAACATGAGGACTGCAGCATTAGGACGGCTGGGGGTTGCCACAACATGAGGACTGCAGCATTAGGAAGGCTGGGGGTTGCCACAACATGAGGACTGCAGCATTAGGACGGCTGGGGGTTGCCACAACATGAGGACTGCAGCATTAGGAAGGCTGGGGGTTGCCACAACATGAGGACTGCAGCATTAGGACGGCTGGGGGTTGCCACAACATGAGGACTGCAGCATTAGGAAGGCTGGGGGTTGCCACAACATGAGGACTGCAGCATTAGGAAGGCTGGGAACCACACCCTATTAGGAGAATGGGCTGACACAACAACAATCTGTCCAAGACAGAATGTTAGGAAAATAGACTATATCTTATCAAGAACTCCTGGAGGATTGTTTGTTAGGCACAGTAACATGTGCAGGACCCTTTTTAATCCAGAAAACACTCATCACTAAAGACCGTTGATTCTTACCCCCAAGAATGGATACATGTCTATACTGATGGATCAGCATTTAAAGCTACCATTAAAGCAGGTTACGGAATCTACATAGGTTATCCCGATGGATCTGTTGAAGAGATTTTTGATGCATGCGGGGAATTCTGTTCAAACTATGAAGCTGAAATAATTGCACTGGAAACAGCAGTATACCACCTAAAGACTATAATGGATGTTTACCCTTCAAAGGTCCAAAATATTGTCATCTTCACAGATTCAATGTCTGCCCTTCAAGCTCTGGAGGGCAGTGAACGCTGCAGAACTGACATAGCCACGATAATCCTGGATGCTGATCAGCTTATTACCTCATACAACATCAGAATAGTGATGCAGTGGATTCCAGGTCACTCCGGCACACCAGGTAATGACAGAGCTGACAGATTGGCAAAGAAAGGAGCAACACAAGAACAACCACCTACAGCGACAACCCTCCAGACAGCAAAAACACTGATAAGAGCTATAAACAAAGAGACTTGGTTGAACAGATGGGCCATGGGAGACACTGGAAGAGAGGTTTATAGACATATGTCTGGCCCTGATCCTAATGACAGCATTAACCATCTAACAAGAAGGGACCAGGCCACCATCTTCAGACTTAGAACGCAACATACTCCACTCAATGGACACCTAAACAGAATACAGCCACAACACTCCCCAAAGTGCCAGCTATGTAACTACCCCTATGAAACTGTTGAACACCATCTCTTTGAGTGCCCAAAACTCAGTGAGACAAGAAGAATGCTACTCCCTCTGAGACCAGACAGGTGGAACACCTTGTACGGAGGAAAAGACCAGCTTGTGAAAACATGCAAATTCCACTACATGGCATTGGGCCAAAGGGCGAAAGCTCATGCGCCGCTGGATCGATAACAACAACAACAATCCAGAAAATGATATCAGAAAGCCAAAGTTGCAGGACATTATTCCATCCTTGATATTATGCATGAGATTACACAGGAAACAACAGAATGGAAGAATAAGCTGCAAGCCTTATGTGATGTATGTTGTCACAATAAGACACTGATGGCACAATGTTAGGCTGATATTTTTACAGACTAACTGGCACTCTGTGGGTGATGTGGTAAACAAAAAAAATGCCAGTCGCCTTTACTTCCCAGGAAATTACCTGGTATGCATTTTAGGCTGTTAACCTCAAAGCCAAGGTTAACTATGAAAAACTCCACCTCGAATTGTATTTGAACCCAAGACTTTTGTTAGGTGACTGTTAGTTATGCTACCGAGGCTCCTAGGTTATGTGGTACCCAAAGAGAAACTGCTCAATGCTACACACTGTCTATAATAGGGGCTTTTGTGCTGAAATTCTATAGAAAGATTCTCAGAATACAATGGACAAAGAAGAGAAGAAATACTGACATTTTAGAAGATGTGAACATCAAGGAAGATTGGCTAATAAACAGCATCTTGTCTTGGAAGCCGATTTATTTTGGTCATATGATGTACCATGGCAGACTGGAAACAATAACAGCAGAAGGAATGGTACAAGGAGGGAGGGGCAGGGCCGACCAACATGAAGATGGGCACAGGATTTATGTGACTCGAGTATAAAAGTACATAAGGCGGGAAAGCTGACGAGAGGCTGAGTTTCTTTCAGGCAGACCGTGACGAGAATGACGTTCTGCACAGGACCTGTTGCAGGATGATGATGACGGACTATAAGCAGCAAGACCCACTAGTGTAATATCTAGTGTATCTGAGTCACAGATAAATAAGTCACAAGTAAATAAGTCACAAGTAAATAAGTCACAAGTAAATATGTCACAAGTAAATAAGTTATAGGTTAACATAGTGTTACATTTCTTCTTCTGTCTTCTATCTCACCCCCCCCCCCCCAAATGCAGCATAGGCCCTCAACCAATTCACAGAAGTTACTCTATCCTTTGTTATTGCATGCAACTCAATCCATGTTCTACCTTATCTTTTTACCTGTAACATTTAGCTTTCATAAACTCACCTGTCCCAATTCTTCCACTTCATTACATACATAGACTGTCTCCTCCACTTTGGGTATATCCTGTGGCTTTCCTTCCTCCTCTGCCAGCTCAAAATCGGATTCACTCATGCCCATACTAGAGTGGTCTGTTCATGAAAAAATTTCATACACTGATTAAATTTAGAGTGCCAATCTTCTATATGCATAAGTAAAAAACGTGTCAACAGAAGCGTACATCAATTTTATGTCAAAATGATACAAATCAAACATGATTATGGTAAGATTGGCTGCTCAACCAAGTCTTGCTGCATACTAACTTCACCTGCTGCTTCCTCTTCAGCTTTCTTCTTTGTGTTTGCTTTACCGCACTGGATGTCAATTTCTTCATCTAATTTACCATCTTTGGTGAATGTTTTTCCCAGATATTGAAACTCAAATCCTGTTTAATGTCTTTGTACTTTATTGCTATACATAAATAGGTAAAGTAAGTAAAGTAAGGACCCCTTTAAACCAGTGGGGTATCAGGAGCCAAGAATGAGAAGCACACCGGACGCACATGAAGTCCTGTTAACCAACATATGAATGCCACCATTAACCGTGCGACGCTGATGAATATGTTGAGAGGGGAATCTGAGCGCCTATGAATGTGTCCGGAGTGCTGTGAATATGGATTCGGTCTAAGACTGTCAGTGCAGCAAACAAGCCTCTGGCCACTTTGCTATTGTGACTCCATTAAATTGGTATGAGGACATTTTTTGGGGGAAATAAAGGTGGCAAACTTGATTTTAATCACATGACCTATTTAATGCTGCTTGATCAACAAACAAAGAGGGCTTGCATTGTATATCCAATAGATCGCACCGCGTGGCAAGAGTATATTTTCTGACACTAACCTGACTGCGTGCCCTGGGAGTAAAGGATAGTATGCCACCTTCAAGGCCAAAGTAGGAGACATCATAACCAGCTCCCCATGGGAACCCTGGAGTGGCTGCCTGGCTGTTGTACCAGAGGACTGAGCACACATGGGAATGCCCAAGATGCAGTGATGTTGACTGTGATAACATAGCACTACTTTACCTTGTTTAGCTCATGATATAAAAATATTTTGTATTTTGTTTGTATCCCCCAGTCATTGGCACTAGCATCTTTGCCAACCCCAGAAATGCTTATTCTGAGCACCATGTTTCCAAAATGATACAAATGAGCAAGATTCGGGTTTTCTATACTTTTATGTTTTTGATCCAGCTGCAAACTATGAAGAAGAAAGATGTAATAACAAATACTACTGCTATATCTCCTCTCAAACGGTGAAATATACTCCAGCTATGATCACAAACGAAGTCAGAAATGGAGTAGGGCTCAAGACTCAACAAAAAACAGAAACAAAGGTGCCATCATTAGAAAAGAAACGGCCAGGCATATGACAAACAGCAAGAACCTTCCTGTGAGTCCTTATTCTTCTTCTTCATGTTCATCGGCTGTAAACTCCAGCAGAAAGTTCTGGTTGTTCGTCCATTTCTGGACTTTAGTCTCATTCCAGAACTTGAGTTTTGCATGCACATCCATTTTACACAATCGGCTTATTTGTGTGCAGACTGTTGATTCCTTGCCTCTCAGGCAGATTCATTGCAACTTTCATGGAAACACCCATAATTAGTCGACATGTACGACATGCTTTGGGGGACCCGGGGAGGGGGGGGGGGGAGTGGGCCTATTCCCCGTCCCCCACCACAATGGGGCCCTGAAATTCACATGGAAAGTGAGTCCTTATAAGGAGTAGAACTTGTCAGCACTCACATCTGAATATCACAGATGTTTACACCAGCAGTAACCTCCTCGATGAAATAACCCAGCTCACATAAGCGGCAAACAGACACACTCAAGACGGGACCTAACTGCCACAAAGAACAAGAAAGAAATTAACATCACAGCTTAAAACACCTTAGTTACAATACAACTAAGGCAAAGAGTTGAGTCAAGAATTGACATCATAGCACTTGGAGCATTCTAATACACACGCCGTCCCTATCTTCAGTAGCCAGCACAGAGTTCCTATACCTATGGTGCTAGTTCTAGTCTGGTTGTATGTCTGTCTTGCCTTTTCTCTGAGCGTAGTGTTCTGGCTGAACCCTCTGGTCACACCCAGGTGCATCACTCTCTCCAGCCCATAAGGCAAAGAACAGCAGGTTAAACAAGGTCAAAAGAAATTTCATTCTGAAACCAAGGCAAGACATGACCAAGCAACACTTACCATCATCATCACTAAAGTGCTCCAGAATGTCCTCAGATTCCTCAACCGCTTCCTCAGCATCATCAGCTGAACCAGACATTCCTCTAGAAAGGTCGGAAGCTGCCAGGGCTGCGGACAGGCTACTTGTGATGTCACTGGGTTTTGAAGCAGCTCGTTTGATTAAGCTGGTACATCTCAAAGCAAGTTCTAGGCCATCCATCCAGCATTTCCCTGTGTGTGAGATAGGGATATTGTTGTGCTGTAGCTCAAGACAAGAAATAAATATCTGGTTTCCAGGCAAGAGTGTGTGTGTGTGCATGTGTGTGTGCACACACGTGCCTGTGTGCATTTGGTTGTATGTGTGTGTGTTTTTGTTTTTTCCTTTGCCCCTTAGCAAGCAGGTCATAAAAAGTTGCTAATGAAGGGTTTGCTGAAATTCTGTTTTGGGCCAAAAGGTGAAGATATTACAGACTAGCTGTAAAACCACAACACCGCTTGCCACCCGCCCTTTTAAAGACAAACACAAAAGAAGAAGAAGAAAAAGGAGGAGGAGGTAGACAACCAGAAAAAAAGAAATAATTTAAAAAAAAAAAAGGAAGAAGAATACACTGGATAAAGGTATAAGGACAGATCTTGTACACAGTGCGTACTCCAAATATATCAAATTTACTGGCTTACTGTAATGATACTAGTACAAGATGTACTAAAAATAAAGTGCATCTTACATTCACAGTCTTAGCAAAGTTTAGGAGACAAAAGGAAGCCACCCATTAAGGCAACCAGAATAAGGTTTTCATGACTACAAAAATCTTAAACATTATTTTTAGCATGCCAGGAAACAGACTAACAATGACAGGTATATACCTTACCTATATTTTCTGAAGGTGCTCGGAATATGGCATATGACACCGGCAGTGGCTGGACGAATGCTCCCATAGTTTCCCCTTTTGGTCCCTGTGAAAAGATGCACACAGTGCCGGAGGTGAAACAACTCCTAGGATAGGTGCTGGTAGGATGAACGATGTGACAGATCTTCACATTACTAGGTTCAAGCAACCAGATTATTAATAGCTGATAGGATGAATGATGTGACAGATCTTCACATTACTAGGTTCAAGCAACCAGATTATTAATAGCTGATAGGATGAATGATGTGACAGATCTTCACATTACTAGGTTCAAGCAACCAGATTATTAATAGCTGATAGGATGAATGATGTGACAGATCTTCACATTACTAGGTTCAAGCAACCAGATTATTAATAGCTGATAGGATGAATGATGTGACAGATGTTCACATTACTAAACTCAAGCAACCAGATTATTAATAGCTGATAGGATGAATGATGTGACAGATGTTCACATTACTAAACTCAAGCAACCAGATTATTAATAGCTGATAGGATGAATGATGTGACAGATATTCACATTACTAAATTCAAGCCAACAGATTATTAATAGCTGATAGGATGAATGATGTGACAAATCTTCACATTACTAGGTTCAAGCAACAGATTATTTAAAGCTCCGCAAATTGTTTAACCCTAAGACCAGTGATTCCTAATTAGCTGGCAACAGCAGGAAACTCTTACTTTCCAATTATAACCTGTTACAGTTGAACAGGATACTTTTGTTTAAAGTACTACTAATACCCCCATTTCTTTCCAAAATGTGACATGGTTCCCATAGTTTGTAACTGTCATACTAAAAAAATTTTAAAAATAATAAAAACTAATGACAATTTATAATTATCAGATTTTGTTTTTTAAATATCCAGAAACCATTTAACCCTTTGGCTCGGATCTATGAGTATCACAACCCTCCGGCATTGATTCCATGATGGTTACCATAAATCTGGGAGAAATATGGCTTTTCTGTCTACCCCCGGGCACGAACCCAGACCACCAAGAGTTCATCACCCCGTCGCTGCACAGTCACATTTGATCAACTGAGCTAGCAAGTTGGGCATAATTATCATATACAAAATGACTGCATTCTAACACTGAAGGTTTCTTTATCAACATCACGAACCACTGATATTCCACTGTTATTTTGATACTGATTCTGTGGACCCTGAGGTCTACGCACCAACAAATGGAAAACACTGACTCAGACAGTCATTACTTTTTTCTTTGAGTACCAGACTGTTTCACTTTAACCCTTCGTCTCAAGAAAAAAAAATACAGCTTGGCTTACCTTTGTAGCCCAGATTGACTGATCTAATGGATGGAACAGCTTGGCTTACCTTTGTAGCCCAGATTGACTGATCTATTGGATGGAACAGCTTGGCTTACCTTTGTAGCCTAGATTGACTGATCTAATGGATGGAACAGCTTGGCTTACCTTTGTAGCCCAGACTGACTGATCTAATGGATGGAACAGCTTGGCTTACCTTTGTAGCCCAGACTGACTGATCTAATGGATGGAACAGCTTGGCTTACCTTTGTAGCCCAGATTGACTGATCTAAAGGATGGAACAGCTTGAAGCAGAACCCCTCCTTCTTGGATGGTCTCTGAAGCAGCTGGCATGTGTTCAGCAGTACTGTACCAACCCAGTGTCCAGTCTACAACAGAGTTACAGATTCATTCTAAGAACCAACAATGGCAGACATGGCATTTCTTCTTCTTCTTCATGTTCACCGGCTGTAAACTCAGTCCAGAAAAGTTATGTTTGTTCATCCACTTCTGAACTTTGGTCTTTTACAGAACTTGAGTTTTGTATGTTTATTCATTTTACAGATGTGACTTATTAACATTAAAGACACTCTACGCCTTCACAGCATGACAATAGCCAGTGGCAGCAAGCATTCATTGGATGGCAAACTATTCCTCCCCACGGCAGACGTGGTTTATGATGATGATTATGATGATGATGATGGTGACAGATGTGGCTTACTTGTATGCAGACTGTTGGTTCCTCGCCTCTCAGGCAAACGCACTCTGACTTTGAAGGTTACATCCCTAATTAGCTACTTACTACAACATGCTTGTAGTAGAGGGGGGGGGGGGGTGTGGGTGGGGAGGGGGGGAGGGTTGGAGTGAATCTAATCCTCCTCCTCCCTTTAAAAAATGGGACACAGAACTCACATGATGACGTGCAGCCAATTAAGATAAGAAACAATGCAAATATTTAGTACAACAGGTAAATTTGATGGGGACAGAAGAAAGATAAAAACACAGAGACAAATACCTAGATGGTTTGGTCACAGTATAATCAGACAAGAACATAAACCTGATAAGAGACTCTGGTGATTGTGTGAGATGATATATCACGGCTGCCCATGTGTAGTAACAAACACACATGATGATGATGATGATGATGATGATGATGATGATGATGATGATGATGATGATGATGATGATGATGATGATGGTGGTGGTGGTGGTGGAGAAACAGTAGCATTTTATTTCCCGTCCAGCCTGTGTAGCTTTGGGGTCAACCAAGCCTTATAGAACAGACACTGGATTTCCCATGTGTGTTCTGGAGCCTTATTTTGGAGAAAAACTGCCACCTGAACAAGCACATCATTATAAAAGGCAACTAATCAAGTTTGCTAAAATATCCCGTCGTTTTGTCCTTTTTAGGATGAAATTTGTTGTTATTTGAAGCCCCACCCTGGCTTTTGCCAGGGGCCGCAATGTAGGCAGGTCATAAATATGGCCAATTGTCTGAACGCGGTTTCTGGGACCTCTCCATCGGCGATCCTCATCCACATGGTGGCACTTTGTATCATCGGGTGTTTTATCGCTTGTGTGATGTCCTGGTGGGTTAGAAATTTAGTCAGTCAGTCAGTTTGCTAAAAATCAGATGTGTTGGGCCAAAATGTGCAGGCATCGAAACCTAGCCGTAAAGCTCAACACAACATGCTAATTGCCCCTTCAAGGGCAAAAGCAGAAGTAAAAGAAGAGGAAAAAGAAGCAAACAGTGGGGAGCATCTTTACTTATGATGGCACAATAGAGAGTCTGAAACAAGATTCCAACAAGGCAGCAGTGTCATATATTGAATGACCTCAATTTGAAACACCTGGCTGGCTATCCCACTGAGATATAAAGAGAAATTATAATTGCAATCTTCATACCACCTTGAGTCAGACTTAGATAGTTGACTAAAGAACATAAACTAAACACCTGCAAAATGAGATGTTTGGAAAAAAAAAGTTGTGAACAAAACTAGAAGAGGTCATGTGAGAAATGAAGAAACTACAAGAACTATTTAAATAATATCTACGATTAGATTCAATCAGAAACAAAGACGTAAAAGGTCTGGCCATTTAATGAGAATAAATCCAGCGATACCAGCAACAAGAACGAAAACATGGAAGTGGAAATACTAAGAGGTAGGGGATAACCCCCCCTCCACCCCCAAAGAAGATGGACTGAAGGAGTCACTGATACCTCGATACCCCACAACATCACAGCATACAGGGTAACTGAGTGTGTCCTAGCTCAGAAACCGTTCATCTGTAAACCTGCCACACCTCGTGGCACAAAGAAGAAAACTGACAAAAGAAAAGACGAAGTAAACTTGAAAACTTCCTGACAGATGGTAAACTTGTTGGGAAAAGAGGAAGAGAAGACAAAGAGACAAATACCTAGCTGGCGATGTCATACAGAAGTCGTCTGAGGCTAGCATCGTGTGAGGTGATATATCATGGCTGCATATGTGCGTGCATTAGCATAGACCATGAGTAAGAGAACTCTCCCTCCAACCAAACTATGCTGTGGCCTAGTATGTGTGAAGGCCAAAATGTCCACATCCAATGGCAGTACAAATGACCCACACCTATTTAACACCAACAGGTAATTTTAACAGGTAATAATGGAACAATCCAACTATTTCTTGAGGCCAAAGAGATGCTTCTTCTTCTTATTAGCGTTTACTGACTGTAATGTCCGCCATAAAGTTCCGTTTGTTTATCCACTCCTGGACTTTGTGGTCTTGATTATACATCTGCTTTATAGATCTGGCTTATTTGTATGCAGACTGTTGGTTCTTTGCCTCGCAGGCAGATGTACTCCGACTTAGAAGGAAACACCCCTAATTACCCACCTACTACAACATGCGTGTTGTGGGGTGGGGGGGGGGGGTGCTGGGTCTGTTTTTTGTCCACGTTATGAGAAGAAAGAAACTTGAATACATTGTGAATCTGGAAAGTTGTGGATAAAGAGAAAAAGAGGGAAAACAACGCAAGAAACCTCTTCACAGCATTTTGTCACTGCTCGAGGGGATGTCAGTTCACAAACTGATACATGCTGTTGGAGACAGCGGGCTGTGGATCAGCACCTTCGTATACATGACTTGGCAAGTCACTAGATGCTGACAGTGAATGTAAAAAGGACGCTTGTCCATGCCTATAGGTATATTGGGCATGTAGTGCTAAACCTGAATTTTACAGCCTAATCGGCACTCTGTGGGTGATGCGGTCAATATCACGCCGGCCACCTTTACTTCCCATGACTTTACCTGGTAGCCATTTTTAGGTTGGGTCAACCAGAGAGACAAGGTCATTTTACAAATAATAAGCTTCAATGTGAGTATTTAGCCACTACACCACAGTGGTTCCCTGAAAATGAATGTAACAAGTGATAAACTAGAGCACATACCTAGGCAAATATGCAGCCTAACCGACATCATACCTGGTGCAGAATGGATACCTGTGCCTCAGGCGTTTATTTGTACATTTTCCTGTATTGCCACACTCAACAGGCGATGTAGAGAAGAGAATCCTGTTGCTGTTAATGCAGAGGTCAACGCTCTCATCGGTGAAAATTCAGACGAAGCAGATGCAATAATCTATACAGACGGATCCGTTATACGCCAAAGAAGAAGCGCATGGGCATTTACAGCATGCTCAGCGGGCAGAACAGTCAAAGAAGCCAACGGCGCCTTCTCCATGACAACCAGTAGCATGACGATGGAGGTGATGGCAGTGACACAAGCGCTTGCCTGGCTTGAAACACAAAAATACACCCGCGTGTGTATACTCAGTGATTCAATGAGTATGATCCGGAGGGTTCAGGCAGGTTCAGTGCGAAGGCAATGGCTTGAATCATACAGAAGTCCACTGTCCGTGGAGTCACCTTTATTTTTGTTCCGGGACACGCAGGCGTCGATGGAAATGAAAGAGCTGACAGGTTGGCTGGATCCGCTATCACTACCGACGGTCAGCCTATGGATCATGCTGATATTATCAATGCCCTCAGAGAAATGGGAAGGATAGACGACTTTGGTGGCAGTGAATCCACATCACTCGCCAGAATGGCAGACTTGGGAATTAAGATCCGCACAGCAAAAAACGAGACGCACACCAGCTACGCCAGAAGACTTGTTAATCAACATAGAACTGGTACTATTAGCCATCGGACGTTGGGGTTCATACTGAGGGGAGGATCTGAGCACCTATGGACATGTCCGGAGTGCAATGAGGATAACCCAACTAACTAACTAACTAACTAACTAACATACCTTCATTTTCTCACTCTTGTATATAATCAACATGGATGGTTTGCAAACACACCACAACTTGGTCCAGCCCTTCAGAGTCCCTCGGACCTTCAGCCAGTCAGACATGAGAACAAACGACTGGTCAGAGGCTGAGTTCATGATTTCTCTGGCCACCTCTTTTTTCTGACTACGGTAATTCTTCTTCTTTTCCTGAAAAACAAAACAGCCAGTTTTTTAAATATTTTTTAAAAGCAGCAGAGTAATTCATGCTGGATACTCTATACATAAGGGTGAGGGTTTGAAACGTATTCTTGACAGATCATTCCAGCAGGAGACATTTTGAAAGCATCCTCACATAATGACATCTGCCGAGCTGAGGGGGTCCTCATCCAAACAGGATAGCAAGTTTCACCTCGCAGGCCTAGCCATTTCGGGTAGCATAATTATAACTTCTTTGGAGGTTGAAAAGGGTATCTAGGATCTACTTTGTTGGTCTGCTATTCAGATTGCGATTTTTTTTTAGTATAGTAGTATTTCTCAGTATAGTATGGTAAACTTTTAGGCAGCAGCCAGAGGGGACAAACTGAATTATAGATCATTTGGAGAATGAGACATGTAACCTTTAACCATGTTGTGACTGCATTTACATCTAGTTAAGCAATCAATCAATAATGCTGATAAAAGCTATTTGTTAGGTTCAGCAATGAAGCAATTGTTAGAAGCAACGCTGCAAGTGCTGCGCAGACATAGAACAGCAAGCTTTCATGTGAGTAACATTTCATATAATACATGAAACATTTAAGCCTGATTAGAACCCGTCAATATCAATTAAATAGACTTCAATCAACAGATAAGAAATTATAAATGCAGAAGAAGAAAAAAGCAAGTGAACCTTTAGTTCATTTAGGTAGGTAAAGATAAAGGAATCCATTTACATGCTTTTGTAGAAAAAATAGGAAATGGTGCCAAATCTAAGGCCTGTTATGTGGCAATCACAGCACATTTCCAGTACGGTGCTAGACAAATTGTCATAAATATTCATAAATATTTTTTTTTTAAATACTTTATAATAAATCAGCTAAAAACTCTTGCTAGCAACTTTCCATATGTTAATTTTTTCTAAGCGGAGGGGTGGGCTCATGGAATCAGAGCTCATGGAAGAGGAAGGCTGGGGAGAGAGGTGTGAGGTAAATGTCTTCCTCTTCTTCTTTTCAATTTCCCTCTCAGTAAACTGGCGTGGGAAGTTCTGGTTGTTCATCCCCCTTATGGTCTGTGGTCCTGTTCTAGAACTCCATATTTGCATGCATATCCCTTTCACAGATCTGTCTTATTTGTGTGCAGACTGTTGGTTCCCTGCTGCTCAGACAGATGTACTCCACTTGGAAGAAACATCTCTAATTACTTTTACAACATGCATGTCAAGGAGCAGTGGGTCTGTTCCTTTCCCCCCAAAATGGGACTCTGATACTCATATGAGGGGGGGGGGGAGTGGTGGGGGGGGGGCAGGATTTAACTGTCCTCAATATCAGCAACAATTATTTTTAAAAAAACACACACAAGTTAAAGCATATCAAGTGTACCAAAAACAACAGCTCCATGACTATTCAATCCAAAAGAATATACACTGATATCCAAATCACAAACTTCAGCAGAAAATGTGAAGATTACTAAATTAAATATATGTGTATGAATTTCTACATCCTGAAAACATCACAAATGTCTCCTAGTGAAGGCAGGACAGAGGTCATAACAAGCAGCCATACTTGTGGCCCAATGAGACTTTTTTGGTATGGTGTACTGGTAGAGGGGGGAAAAAAATCAATAATTCGATAGACTGAATATTGATTAGTTCCAGCTTTACAGGGCATGTAAGCAGACACAAATGCAGTCCTTACCTTCAGCGTTTCCCTGGGGGATACTTTGCTTCCAGACATATTGTCTCCAGTCTGTGGGGGTGCAGGGGACAAGGGCAGAAATAAACAGGTGTGCTAAATATGACAGAGGTGCATCGCAGATGCTCTCTCTCTTTCTCACTTTCCTACTCACTCATTCTCCCTCTCTGCCCCCCCCCACCACCTCCACCACTTTATGTGTTGGACAGTGCATAATGGAGAAGGAAATTAGGGGCTGAAACTGGCCAGATGCTTGCATGTTGTTATGAATTTACTGTCTGCAGCCAAACTGCCAGCCTGCTGTTTAACAGACTAGTATGCACATTCCAGTACACAGATACCATACTGTTGATTATATTACTATTACAAAAGGGTTTGTCTTCATTTTCTTCTTCTTTTGCATAGATGTAGTAATCTTATCCTATATGTGACACAAGGAGAGTGTCAGCCCAGTGCACACACTCTGCATACCAACAAAGCTGCATTTGTGTGCACAACAGAACCATATATGCTATAATTATTATGTTTGTGGGTATAAATATGATTTTTGTTGGTAGCTTTTTCTCATTTTGAAATTTGGCCTTGGTTTTCTTCTTCTTCTTTTTTCTTCTTTGCGTTCACCAACTATAAACTCCACTGGCAAGTTCTGGTTGTTCATCCACTTCTGGATTTTAGTCTTGCCCCAGACCCTGAGTACTGAGTGTGCATCCACTTTACAGATCTGGCTAATTTGTAAGAAGACTGGTGGTTTCTTGCCTCTCAAACATTCTGAATCTGAAGGAAACATAACTAATTTGTTGCCTTTTACAACATGCTTGTTGGGGGGGGGGGGGGGGGGGGGGGGGGAAGGAAAAAGGGGGGGGGGGGTGTGTCTATTCTTTCTTCCCACAAATGGGGAACCAGAACCATATGCAGACCACGAGTAATGACAGTGATTCTTTATCCATATCCAATTCTGCATTCACTCTTAAAATGACAGTTGGAACAAAGTGTTGTGGTTTACAGCTAGGCTGTAATATCTGTAGCTTTGGGCTCAAGGTCATCCAATTTCTTCAACCCCCTTATCAACCTATAATTACAACTGGCTCATTAGAGTACCATTTATTCCCCCCTCCCGCCCATCCCCATCACTTTTCCTCACCAAAATATGGCCCTAGAACACAGGGAGTTTACCAAGAAATTACCAATTACCATCAGATAGATATCAGATAAATGTAGCTGGGCTGAGCTTAAAGACAGTGACTGTCCTCTAAGGTGAGTAAGGCTGACAAAGATAAGGTGTTTTTTGGGCCACCCCCCTCCCCCCCCCCCCTCGTTTTTGGGTTTAAGGCCCCCACTTTGGGTGAGAAGCGAACAGACCCACTTCCTACCTGGCAAGCATGTCATAAAAGGTGACTAAATAGGGGTTTGCTGAAATAGGATGTGTGGGCCCAAAAGGCACCGATATAGCAGCCTAACTGTAAAACATAAAACTTGTCAACCAGAAAAGAAAGACCCATTTTTGTGTCAGGTCATGCAGGTGTAAGAATAAATTAAAAGGATGATAAGCTAGCTGGCAGAGATAGTGTTAAAAGCAAACAAGCGTTAGACTAAAATGATATCCCTGAGGGCAATTAAAATAATCCAGTAATCACTATGAACCAACAAGCTCTGACCAGATTGTAAGCAAGTAAAGGCAAAAATAACAAAGAATGGTAAAAGTTAGTTGCTTATCCTTTACAGGTCGCTACAGAACCAACCTCAGCATATTTTGGCTGTTGTGGTTTTTCTAGGCAAATTTTACATTCAGTAGTTTGCCACTGCTTTCTCAACAGTCAGCTCTTGGTACCACTGTCAAAACCAATGCGAGACAAATCATCCACAGATGGGAATCTAACCCTGGCATTACAAAGCATGTATGCAACACCCAAGCCACAGACGCAGAAGAAGACTGGTAAACCAATGCAGAATTGGTGTCACCAGCTACTACACGCTGCGGAGGGGATTCAAACATTGACCGACTGAACAGTTGCATGTACAGTGAGGATTTTAGTGAGCACACTAACTAATTAAAAGCTAAGCAGTGAAACAAGTGCGACAAAAATAAATATTGAATCATTTAACTTAGCCTGGCAAGAACTGGAGACCCAAAGTGGGAGAGAAAGTAACAGATACTGAAGGTTTGTGTACGAATAATGAGGTGGAATTCAGTTCAAAAATAATGGCTGTTATGTATACAACATACATGAGGAGAGTGTGAATAAATATTGGTTGTGAGTGTACACATATTTAATAATAAATTGTAAAGTAAAGATACCTTTTCACGCCTTTAGGCGCATCAGGCATTCGGGAAAAGCACCCATATTTTTACAGACCAATCGACACTAACTGAGTAATGTGGTCAGCATTAGGCCAGCCGTCTTTGCTTCCCCAGGACATACATCCAGGTACCCATTTAAGGCTGGGTCGACCTGCGACGCCACCTACTATGATAAAAATCCATGCAGCCAGCAGTGGGTTTCGATCTAGGTACATTGGAATTACAAGTCAGACTAGCAACAACTAAGTCATGGACGCCGCAAATAATAAATTGTACACAAATTAAGTGTAATTAAAGAAGAGAGTGTACAGGAGAAATCTAACTGTTTACAGATACAAATACTTGATAAACAGTTTTAGCAGTATAACAAAACCAAATATATCTGAATGTTGTTTTAGCTTAATAAAACAATGTTATCATTTAAAACTTCTTTGGTGGTGGAAATCACAAATGCTAGGTCATAATTTTCCCTTACTAACTAGGTCATAATTTTCCCTCACCAACTAGGTCACAATTTTCCCCGACCAACTAGGTCATAATTTTTCCCCACCAACTAGGTCATAATTTTTCCTTCCCTCACCAACTAGGTCATAATTTTCCCTCACCAACTAGGTCATAATTTTCATTCACCAACTATGTCAAAAATTTTCATTCACCAACTATGTCATAATTTTCATTCACCAACTATGTCATAATTTTCTCTAACCAACTAGGTCATAATTTTCCCTCACCAACTAGGTCATAATTTTCCCTCACCAACTATGTCATAATTTTCCCTCACCAACTAGGTCATAATTTTCTCTCACCAACTAGGTCATAATTTTCCCTCACCAACTAGGTCATAATTTTCCCTCACCAACTAGGTCATAATTTTCCCTCACCAACTAGGTCATAATTTTCCCTCACCAACTAGGTCATAATTTTCCCTCACCAACTAGGTCATAATTTTCTCTCACCAACCAGGTCATAATTTTCCCTCACCAACCAGTTCATAATTTTCCCTCACCAACCAGGTCATAATTTTTCCTCACCAAAGCACAATTTTTAAAAATATTTTAGAGAAGCCACATAGAACAGATGTAGTATATATACAGCCTATGTTGATATGTATGTATATATGGAAACCACCACAATATCCTCCTATGTAACAGAAATTCAGGCTGGCACCTAAGGGCTTGCACAGACTCTGCAACTTCAAGAGTCCCATCAATCCAAAAATAAAAAGGTAAAACCCAGATCCATACTTTCAACCTCAAAGGAAGTTTTAAATGGTGCATCCACAACTGCTATGTGAAACCTGTCCTAGAATAGCCCACAATCATGGATGGGTCAGGATAAACATGTTTCTATAATATTAAATGGGCATTCGCAAATCCAGAAGTAAAGTATCCCGACATTTTTTTTTTTTCAATCACATAACAGTCTTCAGGCTAAAGCATGACATTGTTTCTTTTGTCGCCTCACTGATACCAGGTTGTGGCCCAGTATTGTGGTTTTCTGTGGTTATGACATTAAACTCCCTCACACCATGGTCCACTGTGGTGGTTTTCTGTGGTTATAACATTAAACTCCCTCACACCATGGTCCACTGTGGTGGTTTTCTGTAGGTATCACACTAAACCTCCTAACACCATGGTCCACTGTGGTGGTTTTCTGTTGGTATGACTTTAAATTCCCTAACACCATGGTCCACTGTGGTGGTTTTCTGTTGGTATGACTTTAAATTCCCTAACACCATGGTCCACTGTGGTGGTTTTCTGTTGGTATGACATTAAATCCCCTCACACCATGGTCCACTGTGGTGGTTTTCTGTTGGTATGACATTAAATCCCCTCACACCATGGTCCACTGTTGTGGTTTTCTGTAGGTATCACACTAAACCTCCTAACACTATGGTCCACTGTGGTGGTTTTCTGTTGGTATGACATTAAATCCCCTAACACCATGGTCCACTGTTGTGGTTTTCTGTTGGTCTGACATTAAATCCCCTAACACCATGGTCCACTGTGGTGGTTTTCTGTTGGTATGACTTTAAATTCCCTAACACCATGGTCCACTGTGGTGGTTTTCTGTTGGTATGACATTAAATCCCCTAACACCAAGGTCCACTGTTGTGGTTTTCTGTGGTTATAACATTAAACTCCCTCACACCATGGTCCACTGTGGTGGTTTTCTGTTTGTATGACATTAAATCCCCTAACACCACCTGTTTAAAATCTGCATCAAAATCCTGGCTCCCAGGTCAACCCAGCCTGAAGCTGAGTATGAGTTAAGAAATGACATCATGGCACTTGGGACATTCTCATAAGCGCTCCTATAAGTGCTCCATCTCCATCTCCAGCAGCAAGCCCACAGTATCCAGCCAACTGAGTACATGAAATTGTACTGGAAAAGAAAAGGCAGATGCAGTGATGTTGATCACATCACCCATCAAGTGCCGAATGGGGCTATAATAATACGAGTCCAGCATCTTATGCCTAAAACACCCTGGCCACTGCTACTTCTGCCTGTATTTACCATTCTATGGCTAAGGCAGGAGGGGTTTTGAGCTGGAGCATTTAAGGCTGCATGGCTAGTGCAGTCACCATGGTCTGCACAGGCTGCCTAAAGCAAAAATGAAATTAAAAGGGGGCGTTTACTATTTTACTAAAACCACTTGTATCCTTTATAAACAAAAAAAAAGTAACTTTGCAAATACTCTAATTAACTTGCCTTGCAGTGACCAAGAAACCATCTTTTTCACAGTAACTGACAAACTTGTGGTGGTTCACTTGCTATAGTTGTATACTTCTAGTATATTTCTGACATGACATTCATGATGATGCAGAATTCCTTTCCTGTACGATATTTCTGGTATGATATTCATTTCTAGTATAGTATACTTTTCTGTTATGGTATTCATTTCCAATATGGTATTCATGCTATGGTATATCTGGTATGGTATGCCTCACCTTGAACAGCTTTTTATCCAGCGAGTCCTGTGAATCCAGCATGGTGTCAGACAGTTGCACTTTTCTCCTGGGTGTGCTGGAGGAGTCACCATCTAGGGAGCCTGCAACAGATTAACAGTAACATTTGATTTCAATCACCATCTAGACAGCCTACAACAGAGTAACAGTAACATTTGATTTCAATCACCATCTAGACAGCCTACAACAGATTAATAGTAACATTTGATTTCAATCACCATCTAGACAGCCTACAACAGATTAATAGTAACATTTGATTTCAATCACCATCTAGACAGCCTACAACAGATTAACAGTAACATTTGATTTCAATCACCATCTAGACAGCCTACAACAGATTAACAAGAACAATTCATTTCAATCACCATCTAGACAGCCTACAACAGATTAACAGTAACATTTCGTTTTAATCACATCTAGACAGGCTACAACAGATTATAGTAACATTTGATTTCAATCACCATCTAGATAGCCTACAACAGATTAACAGTAACATTTGATTTCAATCACCATCTAGAAAGCCTACAACAGATTAACAGTAACATTTGATTTCAATCACCATCTAGACAGCCTACAACAGATTAACAGTAACATTTCATTTCAATCACCATCTAGACAGCCTACAACAGATTAACAGTAACATTTGATTTCAATCACCATCTAGACAGCCTACAACAGATTAACAGTAACATTTGATTTCAATCACCATCTAGACAGCCTACAACAGATTAACAGTAACATTTGATTTCAATCACCATCTAGACAGCCTAAAACAGATTAACAGTAACATTTCATTTCAATCACCATCTAGACAGCCTACAACAGATTAACAGTAACATTTCATTTCAATCACCATCTAGACAGCCTACAACAGATTAACAGTAACATTTCATTTCAATCACCATCTAGACAGCCTACAACAGATTAACAGTAACATTTCATTTCAATCACCATCTAGACAGCCTACAACAGATTAACAGTAACATTTGATTTCAATCACCATTTAGACAGCCTACAACAGATTAACAGTAACATTTGATTTCAATCACCATCTAGACAGCCTACAACAGATTAACAGTAACATTTCATTTCAATCACCATCTAGACAGCCTACAACAGATTAATAGTAACATTTGATTTCAATCACCATCTAGACAGCCTACAACAGATTAACAGTAACAATTCATTTCAATCACCATCTAGACAGCCTACAACAGATTAACAGTAACATTTGATTTCAATCCCCATCTAGACAGCCTACAACAGATTAACATTGTTAAGGTTGAGCCGTATTTCTTTGATTTACTCTGTTTGTCATTCAGGATGAACTTGCAACATTACTGGTTGCCAAACACCCCAGGTAGTCGCCACATGGTAAAAACAGACAAGACAACTGGATTGACTTTAGTAAAGCCCACACAAGCAGTTTCACTAAACAGTGCATGTGGACACCACAACAGATCAATAGTAACATTTCATTTTAATCACCATCAAGTGAGAATCAAGTAAATAACATATGATTCTCAACAAATACACTACATCTCAACACAAATACTGAATCTCAATACATACACTGCATCTCAACACATACACTGCATCTCAACACATACACTGCACCTCAGCACATACACTGCATCTCAGCACATACACTGCATCTCAACACATACACTGCATCTCAACACATACACTGCATCTCAACACATAAACTGCATCTCAATACATACACTGCATCTCAACACATACACTGCATCTCAACACATACACTGCATCTCAACACATACACTGCATTTCAACACATTACACTGTATCTCAACACATACACTGCATCTCAACACATACACTGCATCTCAACTCATACACTGCATCTCAACACATACACTGTATCTCAACACATACACTGAATCTCAACACATACACTGCATCTCAATACATACACTGCATCTCAACACTAACACTGCATCTCAACACATACACTGCATCTCAACACATACACTGCAACTCAATATATACACTGCATCTCAATATATACACTGCATCTCAACATATACACTGCATCTCAACACATACACTGCATCTGAACATATACACTGCATCTCAACACATACACTGCATCTCAACACATACACTGCATCTCAACACATACACTGCATCTCAACACATACACTGCATCTCAACACATACACTGCGTCTCAACACATACACTGCATCTCCACACATACACTACAACTCAACACATACACTGCATGAAAGGATAATGATAATGATGCTGATCATACTACTGCTGCTGCCGATGATGATAATGAGGATGTTGACCTACTTACAAAAACTATTTAGACAAAGTTGCACCATGTTTACATAAAGAAAACTGAACAATGAATCATATTATTTCCGCACTAAAAGAGACAAACAATGACACACACACGCGCGCGCACACACACACGCACACACACACACACACACACACACACGCACATGCAAGCACACACACACACACACACACACTAAAGGATACTAATTAAGTCTGAAAGCATTAAATAAAGGAAGAGATTATTTGGGTCTCCCAATTGTAATTCCTTTTACCTTGTTAAAATATACACAATAAAAAATAAAAAAGGATGAACAGAGGAAAGCCAACACTTGGAGCATCAGTTAAGACTCTTGAATTGATAAAGTATTACGACGAGGCCTGGGTTTTGCAGCTGATGATTCTATTATCTTGAAAAGTATATATTTTGTAACTTTGTGACTTCTGCAGCCCCCTCTGGGATGGAAAAGACGGACCCAAAGATCCCACACTGTAAATGGTCACAAATAGGGATTTGCTGTGATCGGATGTGTTGAGGCAACAGGCGCAGATACCGACTAGTCGTAAAAGGCAAAAGACGTTTAAACCTGGATGGTGTATATTTCTTAGATCTTGATGTGACAGGGTGGTAGTGATTCTTCTTCTTCTTCTTCTTCTTCTTCTTCTTCTTCTTCTTCTTCTTCTTCTTCTTCTTCTTCTTCTGCTTCCTCCTCCTCCTTCTTCTTCTGCTTCTTACTTTTCCTTTTCTTCTTCTTATTCTTCTTATCTTATTTTGCTTCATTTTCTTTTTCTTCCTCTTCTTCTTCTTCTTCTTCTTCTTCTTCTTCTTCTTTTCTTCTTCTTCTTCTTCTTCTTCTTCTTCTTCTTCTTCTTCTTCTTCTTCTTCTTCTTCTTCTTCTTCTTCTTCTTCTTCTTCTTCTCCTTCTTCTTCTTTTTCTTCTTCTTCTTCGCATTCAACGGTTGTAAACTTTAGAGGAAAAGTTGAGCTTGTTGGTCCGGTTCTGGGTTTGGTGTTGTTCCAGAACCGGAGATTTGCGTACACATCCATGATAATAATGGTGGCTGTGGTGGTGGTGGTGGCTGTGGTGGTGGCTGTGGTGGTGGTGGTGGTGGCTGTGGTGGTGGTGGCTGTGGTGGTGGCTGTGGTGGTGGTGGTGGTGGCTGTGGTGGTGGTGGTGGTGGCTGTGGTGGTGGCTGTGGTGGTGGTGGCGGCTGTGGTGGTGGTGGCTGTGGTGGTGGTGGCTGTGGTGGTGGTGGCTGTGGTGGTGGTGGTGGTGGCTGTGGTGTTGGCTGTGGTGGTGGTGGTGGTGATGGTGGCTGTGGTGGTGGTGGTGGCTGTGGTGGTGGTGGTGGTGACTGGAAAAATATGATGCCAATATCGATTACAGTAGTGCTAGTCGCAGTGACACCTACTGTCAGTGCCGGCAGTGGGAGCAGTAATGCTGTTTACGATGATAATGCTGATGATGATAATGACGATGAAATTGACGTTGGTGGTGATAATAATGATGTTGATGATGAAATTGACGATGGTGGTGATTAATGATGTTGATCATGACTTTGGTGGAGATGGTGATGACGATGGTTTCGTTGTTGATGATGATGATGGCGATGTGGTAGTGGTGTGTTGATGATGACGATGGTGATGATGATGGTGGTGATTAATGATGGTGATTATGACTTTGGTGGAGATAGTGTTGATGACGGTGTCGTTGTTGATGATGATGATGGCGATGTTGTAGTGGTGTCTTGACGATGACGATGGTGATGATGATGAGGATGGTGATGATGATGAGGATGGTGATAATGAACTGGTAGGGTTGATGTTGATGGTGGTGGTGGTTGCCGTGGTGATGATAATGCCGCAGACGACGATGATGTCAATGGTGGTCATAATGATGTTGGTGATGACTTTGGTGGGAATGGTGATAATAATGATGTTTATGATCTAGTAGTGGTGTCATGAAGATCACGATGGCGATGTGGTAGTGGTGTGTTGATGATCACGATGGCGTTGATGATGATGATAGTGGTTGCCGTGATAATGATGATGATAATGCTCGGTGATGACACAGCACTGTTAATGATGATGATGATGATGATGATGATGAGGATGATGATGATGCCGTCAACGATGATAATGGCAGTGCTGGTTATAGTTGTGGTGATGATATGATGACACAAACGTACTACCTGTGGACACATTCGCAATGGCGGTCTCAAACTTCTCGGACTTGCCATGAAACGACCAAGTCCTCATCAGCTTAAGCCGTCCTTTCTTGGCCAGGCCAAGTTTGACCATTGAGTCACACAGCGCCTCGGTGGACATTAGCCTTACACTGCAATTAACTCCTTCTGTGTCAATCAATTCATCTCGCGTTAGTCCTGGAATGGTGCCTGTTTCTCTTTGTGTTTTTCTTAAACCTGCTACACACACATCTTATCTGTTCCAAGTAGTCACTCTAATTTCTTTATTCCATTTGACTATTAGTGGAAATTTTTCAATGCAAAAATGTCAGAAAAATGTTAATTAAGTTTCACATGGCAGAATTCCGGTCACAATTCTAGGACGATGGAGCAGATAATGACATTAAACAAGATGCCAAAGGGGCAATGCTTAAATACTAACTGACACGGCTATAAAGAACTATAAATACAAGTAGGACCTCCGAGGTCACACACATCGTCATCTGACCATTTCATCCTCATCAACACATATATTATTATCAATAATATACTCATATCAAATTCAATGCGAACGCTTCGTAATACCGGGAT